CTGAAAGATTCTGTTGTGATGTCATGATCTACAGTTACACCCAAAGCATAGCTGTGGGAAGTAGTTTGGGGGTGGGGTGCTGTGATTTTTTTCTTCAGCCCAGCTAAACCAGATAAGGCAACCAGATAAGGCATCTGCTGAACATAATCTACTAAAAAATCCATTAAATCACATAAACGCAATTTCATGAAGATGGATGAAACATTTTGAAATAAACATCAATGTTCCTGGTAAAAGAACTGACAAATAGTAAAATATTAGCGACCAAGCTAAGCTACAGTGTTATGAATTATTGTGGCTAACTGAAAATGATTTCCTTGGCAACCCCTTTGGATTTTTTTTACTAAAACAAGGGTCATGAAAGCCTAGCTAGAAAGCCTAGCTAGCTAACTTAGCTAGCCAGATGTATTGAACAAAATCAATAAGATACAAACAGTAGAAGTTAAATATCATTGGGTGAAGACCAATATTCACATCTCCCCTTCAGGGAGTGGCCTCTGGATTTTAGTGGCAGCAGGTGTTTTCACCTTGCAAATGAAACCCAAAATGAGCTTCAACTGCTACGCTGCATGGAGTGAGCATTGATTATGCATTGATTTACCTAACCAGCTAGCTAGAAATTCTAGTTTTAAGTTAGCGAGCTAGAATTATTGCGTTTGTCTCTGGAACTTGTATGGAAACTGGAACGTGTATCTGAACAGTAGGACACACCTGGTTAGTTTGCTAACATTAGATAGCAACCCAGCTAGAACATAGATAGCTAGCTAGCTCACTACAGAGCTGGCAAAAACATTTGCTTAACTAGATGGCTAAGTTACGCTGTCCATGGTGCTAAAGTGGACAAACTGAGAAGTGAAATGACAACATTGAACAGTGAAGAAGTTTTTGGTACCCTTCCCCAGATCTGTGCCTCTACACAATCCTGTCTCGGAGCTCTACGGACAATTCCTTCGACCTCATGGCTTGGTTTTTGCTCTGACATGCACTGTCAACTGTGGGACCTTATATAGACAGGTGTGAGCCTTTCCAAATCATGTCCAACCAATTTACCACAGGTGGACTCCAATCAAGTTGTAGAAACATCTCAAGGATGATCAATGGAAACAGGATGCACCGGAGCTCAATTGAGTCTCATAGCAAAGGGTCTGAATACTTTCTGAATGCACTGTAAATATATACTCATTCATAATCTTTACATTACTTAAAACTATTACAGCCATCATGTGTTGGCAGTGGTGTTAAGTACTTAAGTAAAAAATACTTGAAAGTACTACCTAAGTCGTTTTTTGAGGTATCTGTACTTTACTTTTTCGATTTTTGACAACTTATACTCCACTACATTCCTAAAGAAAATAATGTACTTTTTACTCCATAAATATTCCCTGACACCCAAAAGTACTCGTTACATTTTGAATGCTTTGCAGGACAGGAAAATGGTCCAGTTCACGCACTTATCAAGAGAACACCCCTGGTCATCCCTACTGCCTCTGATCTGGCAGACTCACTAAACACAAATTATTTGTTTGTAAATGATGTCTGTGTGTTGGAGTGTGCCCCTGGCTATCCGTAAATTTTTAAAAACAAGAACATTGTGCTGCATGGTTTGCTTAAAATAAGGAATTTGAAATGATTTATACATTTACTTTTGATACTTAAGTATACTTAAAACCAAATACTTTTAGACTTTTACTCAATTAGTATTTCACTGGGTGACTTTCACTTGAGTAATTTTCTATTTAGGTATCTTTACTTTTACTCAAGTATGACAAATTGGGTACTTTTTCCACAACTGTGTGTTGGCTATTCATGGCCAATCACGGCATGGGGAAAATGACACATCAAAAAAATACTGTTTTATTTGTGTATTTGTAGTAACCTACTACACAAACTGGTCTGTCTGGCATTCCAGTCTGTCAACTGCACGGGCAAAGCCCATCTGATATGTGGAGAAGTTAACATCCAGCTCAGTGTTTCCCAACCCTGGTCCTTGAGCACCCCCAACAGTACACATTTTTATTGTAACCCTGGACAAGCATACCTGATTCAAATGGTCAACTAATCATCAAGCCCTCAATGAGTTGAATGAGGTGTGTTTGTCAAAGGCTACAACGAAACTGTGTACTGTTGGACGTACTCGAGGACCAGGGTTGGAAAACACTGATCCAGGTGACCAGCGCATCCCAGGAAGCCCCTCTGCCATGTACACCCAGCAATACCCACCCTACCAGGGAATGGTGTTCCAGAACAGTCATAGTGGGCTCTACAGGCCCCAGAGCACATACCCCGGCAATGGCGTACCGGCCCCACTACAACGTCGTCAGCCCCAGTGGACAGATGGTCTATCCCCACACGCCAGCTCCAGATAGGCAACAGGGATAAACATAGGCTCAGTGCAAAGAGCCACAGTGTTCCTCCAGACCATATCCCGACAGGCAATGCTCCCACAGATGATGTCCCCTGGCCATGCCATGGACCGGCATGTGGCAATCTACCCAACCATTTATTTTGTTCCAGGTAAGATTGATTTACACTGAACAAAAATATAAACGGAACATGTAAAAGTGTTGGTCACATGTTTCATGAGCTGAAATACAAGATGCACAAATTTGTTTACATCCCTGTTAGTGAGCATTTCTCCTTTGCCAAGACAATCCATCCACCTGACAGGTGTGGCATATCAAGAAGCTGAGTAAACAGCATGATCATTACACAGGTGCACCTTGTGCTGGGACAATAAAAGGCCACTCTAAAATGTGCAGTTGTCACACAACACAATGCCACAGATATCTCAAGTTTTGAAGGAGCATGCAATTGGCATGCTGACTGCAGGAATGTCCACCAGAGCTGTTGCCAGAAAATGTCATGTTCATTTCTCTACCATAAGCCGCCTCAAACGTCATTTTAGCCATTGAAGAGGAGTGGGACAACATTCCACAGGCCACATACAACAGCCTGATCAACTCTATGGGAAGGAGTTGTGTCACACTGCATGAGGCAAATGGTGGTCAAACCAGATACTGACTGGTTTTCTGATCCAAGCCCCTACTAAAAAAAAAAAGGTATCTGTGACCAACAGATGCATATTTGTATTCCCAGTCATGTTAAATCCATAGATTAGGGCCTAATGAATTTATTTCAATTGACTTGATTTCCTTATATGAACTGTAACTCACTAAAATCTTTGAAATTGTTGCATGTTGCATTTATATTTTTGTTCAGTGTAGATTCATTGGATCTCTGTGAGTAGACTTCTCTAATGTGCGACTATTTCTTTGTGACAATGGTCTTGAGGAATAATTTAAAATGATTAGTTTTGGCGGCACATGGAACATGCGATGAACCGCCATTCCCATTGCTTTCAATTACAGATAGGGTCAATAGGATTCAGTCCACAGCAAATAAGGGGGATGCAGTCCTATCCAGACATGTAATGGAGAGCAATTTACACGTAAACAGTTGCCAAGGTAATTATGCACGACCCTAAACTGCCCTCGTGTTAAGCCAACGGAGTATTATGCCCGTTCCAATTGATTTAAGACCTAAATCAAGCAGTGTAAAACAGCAGTTGGTGAATGCAAAGAAGGCGAAGTCAAACAAGGTGGAGCCCCCAAAAAGCCCGCCAATATACGCTCAAGTAATACACGATCAAGTGGAGGTTCGGGAAAACTGGACAATCGGAGACACACCGGTCCAGGTGGCCAGTAATCCATGCACTGACAGCAAGCTAACTGTAATCACACCAAATGACAAATAAATAATTGACACACCAGTCAAACGAGACAAGAGAGTTAGTCCACGACCTCAGCAAGGCCCCAGAACAACGTGAAACAGTGACCGAAAAGCTTCCACAATTCCACATTCACGGTCTCAGGTAGGACAGAGAGCTGCGGCAACAACGACCGGACCTAAGCGGGAAAGCCATGGTATCAAAACACATTACATACCGACCACTAAACCAAGAAGAGTTCCGATCGATGCATGGGCAATCCTCCACCAGGAGCGCAGGCGCGAGACCTTCATGGCGCAAAGATGAGAGAAGCTCACTCAACGCTGCAGCACCTGCGCATTCTGATCAAGATATTTGGAGAGAGCAACTTACTTGTCTTACTTATTGCCATGAAAGATTAATTAAACATGTCGTTAATAAGAAATACAGAAATCAGAACGGCAGTATAAAAAGAGGACATAATAAAATGGGTTAATGTCTTTATTTTAGTCTGTAAACTATCAAGATACTCAGCGCCAAAGAGATTATGAAGTGTCAACAGAAACAAACCATGACTACAGCCACGAAGAAGAAACATGGAGCGGTCAACGTATCAGCAATGGCGGGAATCATGAAAAAGTATTCGATCCAATACAATATCGTGCGCCATGCTGTTGCACTCAGTGAAGCGATCATCAAGAGTGCATCTGCCACTATCCTATGTCAAGACTACGGTTACCACCATCGATTACCGACACACCACCCAAGTCTACCGCACCACCAGTGCCTGTTTGTCAACCTCAAAAACTGGTCGTTTGAAGCAGCAGACACACAACAAATCCTGTGGGACTTCGACAGCAACCAACTGCTGGAATGAAAGCCCTGTGGTAACCAGGCGACGGTGTGTTCCGCAACCCTCATGTCAAGCAACAACTATCCACCGGACAGGGATTCCTATGGTCTGGCTTTGCAGCCAAGGTCAGCGATGAGATACGTACCTGTCTATGTACCAATGGATGAAGCCATGAGACCTGTCCACTCGGCCGCCTACGTGCCATTCAGCTACATGGAAAATGAGGAAGGAAGGAGGGCGCATAGGCGTCATTGCAGTGCACCCCTCAAAGGGTCGCTTTACGTAAACCTTGTGGTGGCTCGCAACAACGTGGATTTTTATCATCAATTTAAAACGTTAACAAAACAATCCTCTCAATTTGCTCTATGGAACATAGATTGACTTCAAGAACCACCAGAGCCATGCAAGAAGTAAGCATTTCCTAGACAAAATGAACAAACATTTTCATTTAGAAGTTACATAGTTATTTTATTATACTCATTATTTACAAAGTTAAAGGGTCAGGTTAATAATTGGATTGTACTACCTCTCCATACATTTTCTCAGAACCTCAAAGTACCAGATACCTTGTTAAAGTTTTTTTTTTCCTATAACCATGATACAAGATCTCATAACCATACACTAGCCCTATTGTTAAACGACATATCAACAGTCCAGAACTTAGATTATTCTCTTATGACCCATAGGATCTCTTCACAGTTGAAAAGAAGAATGTAAAAAGGACAGCTGTTAGAGCATAGCTAGACAGGGATAAACCTCTTAATATTTTCCATACAGCATCCCTTCAGATAGTTGCATAGCCGAGTGCGTAGCTTACTGCTCTGAAAAATTGTATGGAAGGGATTTGTGCATAAAACATGTAACTACCATAACCTGTAGAGAAGTGTGCCCTTGAGTTAATTTTCTCCCGCAATGATTGTCATGAGCAGACTTTGAAGTAGTGTTGATCATAATTATCTAAGCGGCGTTGTAACATTCAATAGTAAGCATAGTACCAGTATTCCCCCCTCCCCCTACAATCAATGGCGCAATAGACCATGATGTTCATATCAAAGTCTTAACAACCCACGGTGTTATGCATCAGTCAGTCAATCAGTGACATCACAAATTAATGTGAGCATTGATGGACTAAAAAAGGTCATCGGAATGAGGATCAGTAACAGTTGAGCTGGGGGATAATACTAAAATATCAGTAACGCAAGTGTTATAAACTAAAAAATCCCAACCACTGAGAATATGTACATATGTGTGAGTGCAGTTATTTTTTGTAACAAACATTTAATGAAGTTGTTAACACAAAACAGCTGTACATTACATTAAGAGCAACAGATTGTGTGGACACTGTATGTTCCTAAAGTGCCAAGGTTGTAGGATTGTGCAAATAGAATACTGTATGATAGATCAAAGCATATACAATCAAAACACTGCATCATGAAGAGTTAAAACAAAACAGCGATTCAAATCATGAACCCCTGTCAACCAAGCTACAATGGAGTGAATACACAGGTCCATTTATGCTAAAAAGTAATAGTTCTCTAAAATGATGGCTGCATGAAAAATGTGACCGAATGCTAAATTTTTAAGCATGTTTAACAGCTGAACATTTTGTATTACAAATACATCAATTATTGCTATTTTCATATACAGTATATTAATTGTAATAAATTAAGGCTTTATTGTATTAATCTCCTATTTGCATATTGGCTGTAATTAACTGGTCTAAAAAATGAATTAGTGGAATGGAATCACATAATAGATAAGGAAGTTGACGTGGATAAGAATCAATCTCACTATTCAAGGAATGTCCATTAATAAATATCAGGTAATAGGGAATAGTTGCGGTCCCAGTATCCAGTGGAGAACAACCAGTCCTCGGAGCCGTTGTGGGGATTCTGACCCTGGTGAAACCACCTGGTGATGCAGAAGCGATACAGTGAGCATAATGTAATTTAATGAATGAGAGTTAGTATCTACATAACATTTAGCAATGCATAAGTGAAAAAACAGTATGTCTAAAAAGATAATCATGCATTGGTTATGTGTAATAAATGGCCAGTATGCAATTATTTTCATTTGGGCCACTAACTGAATTTCAGAGATCAGAACTAATGCATGCACAGTATATATTAGCACCAGTAGATGGCGCTACCACACAACAGTTTGACAGTGGAGCGCATACGTAAGGCACACCATAGAAGAGCAAGCAACTCAAACCTGGGGCCAAGGGCAGGGTTTCTTCAAGTCAAAGCAAAGGTGCAATACAGAGAACAAGACAATGGAAGAGAAAAGTAGGACTTTGCATTAGTATAAAGTAGTAAACAAGATACCAAAAGAGAAATGTATTAAACAAAGGGAAACCCTATAAAAAGTTAAAATACAGTTGATTTTATATACAAATATTGGTGTATTGGTATACAATACATCGAGAATATAACAAATTCAATTGTCAAAACATAAGTATTTCTCTCATAGTCTTACTTTGTTTTCCACTCGTCATCAGATTTGGAACGGGTTTTGCGTGCAGCTCTCTGTTTCTCTTCTAGCCTCTTCTTCTCCTCACTTGCAAGATCTACATGGAGAAAACGTAAGGGGTTTTCACTGGTCTACCTTTTGATCAACTGTGCACCCAGTGCAAAATCTACAGCACCAGGTCTCACAGGAAGGCCAAGAAGATCATCAACGACCTCAGCCACTCGAGCCACGGCCTGTTCACCCCGCTACCATCTAGAAGGCGGAGACAGTACAGGTGCATCAGAGCTGGGACCGAGAAACCGTTAAACAGCTTCGATCTCCAGGCCATCAGACTGTTAAACAGTCATCACTAGCTGGCCTCCGCCCGGTATCCTGCCCTGAACCTTAGACACCGTCACTAGCCGGCTACCACCTGGTACTCTACCCTGCACCTTAGAGACTGCTGCCCTATGTACATAGTCATTGAACACTGGTCACTTTAATAATGTTTACATACTGTTTTACCCACTTTATATGTATATACTGTATTCTAGTCATGGCTCATCTTATTTAACTACTGCTGTACACACCTTTTCTTTTCACATGGTCTATACACAGTATATGCATTGTTGTCTCTACTTTTTTGCGTTTTGTACTGTTGTCTGTGCCGAACAAGGTTTGTACCATGTCTGTGCTGCTACCATGTTGTGCTGGTGCCATGATGTGTTGCTACCGTGTTGTTGTCATGTTGTGTTGCTGTCATGTTGTGTTGCTACCATGCTGTGTTCTCTTAAGTCTCTCTTTATGGAGTGTCGTGGTGTTTCTTGTCATGATGTTTGTTTTGTCCTACATTTAAAAAATGTATTCCAGCCCCTGTCCCAGCTGTAGGCCTTTTGCCTCTTGGTAGGCTGTCATTGTAAATAAAAATGTGTTCTTAATTGACTTGCCTAGTTAAATAAAGGTTAAATGAAATAATAATAAAAAACATACCATTTATATACATACAGTTGAATTCAGAAGTTCACATACACTTAGGTTTGAGTCATTAAAACTTGTTTTTCAACCACTCCACAATTTTCTTGTTAACAAACTATAGTTTTGACAAGTCGGTTAAGACATTTACTTTGTGCATGACACAAATAATTTTTCCAACAATTGTTTACAAACAGATTATTTCACTTATAATTCACTGTATCACAATTCCAGTGGATCAGAAGTTTACATACACTAAGTTGACTGTGCCTTTAAACAGCTTGGAAAATTGCAGAAAATGAGGTCATGGCTTTAGAAGCTTCTGATAGGCTAATTGACATCATTTGAGTCAATTGGAGGTGTACCTATGGATGTATTTCAAGGCCTACCTTCAAACTCAGTGCCTCTTTGCTTGACATCATGGGAAAATCAAAAGAAATCATCCAAGACATCAGAAAAAATAGACCTCCACAAGTCAGGTTCATAATTGGGAGCAATTTCCAAACGCCTGAAGGTACCACGTTCATTTGTACAAACAATAGTACGCAAGTATAAACACCATGGGACCACGCAGCCGTCATATCGCTCAGGAAGGAGACGCGTTCTGTCTCCTAGAGATGAACGTACTTTGGTGCGAAAAGTGCAAATCAATCCCAGAACAACAGCAAAGGACCTTGTGAAGATGCTGGAGGAAACAGGTACAAAATTATCTATATCCACAGTAAAATGAGTCCTATATCGACATAACCTGGAAAGGCCGCTCAGCAAGGAAGAAGCCACTGCTCCAAAACCGCCATAAAAAAAGCCAGACTACGGTTTGCAACTGCACATGGGGACAAAGATCGTACTCTTTGGAGAAATGTCCTCTGGTCTGATGTAACAAAAATAGAACTGTTTGGCCATAATGACCATTTTTAAGTTCGGAGGAAAACGGGGGTGCTTGCAAGCCGAAGAACACCATCCCAACCGTGAAGCACGGGGGTGGCAGCATCATGCTGTGGGGGTGCTTTCCTGCAGGAGGGAATGGTGCACTTCACAAAATAGCTGGCATCATGAGGAAGGAAAACTATGTGGTTATATTGAAGCAACATCTCAAGACATCAGTCAGGAAGTTAAAGCTTGGTCACAAATGGGTCTTCCAAATGGTCAATGACCCCAAGCATGCTTCCAAAGTTGTGGCAAAATGGCTTAAGGACAACAAAGTCAAGGTATTAGAGTGGCCATCACAAAGCCCTGACCTCAATCCTATAGAAAATGTGTGGGCAGAACTGAAAAAGCGTGTGCGAGCAAGGAGGCCTACAAACCTGACTCAGTTACACCAGCTCTGTCAGGAGGAATGGGCCAAAATTCACCCAACTTATTGTGGGAAGCTTGTGGAAGGCGACCCGAAACTTTTGACCCAAGTTAAACAATTTAAAGGCAATACTAAAAAAATACTAATTGACCCACAGGGAATGTGATGAAAGAAATAAAAGCTGAAATAAATAATTCTCTCTACTGTTATTCTAACATTTCACATTCTTAAAATAAAGTTGTGATCCTAACTGACCTAAGACAGGGAATTTTTACTAGGATTAAATGTCAGGAATTGTGAAAAACTGAGTTTAAATGTCTTTGGCTAAGGTGTATGTAAACTTCCGACTTCAACTGTATATATTCTGGACTCTGATATTGCTCGTTCTGATATGTCCCTTTTTTTAACTTTTGTATTGTGTGTGTATTGTTATTGTATTCCTAGATATAGCTGCACTGTTGGAGCTAGAGACATAAGCATTTCACTGCGCCTGCGATAACATCTGCAAATCTGTGTACGCGACCAATAAACTTTGATTTGATTTCTGCGTTCAAGGATACTAAGTGTTTGCAGATGAGACACAAGCATGTATCATGATTCTTACCAATATCTCCGTTCTCCATGGCTCGTATGTCTGGCCTCAGCCTGCAGTCTGTCTTTGGGATGAGCCCCTCCATATCCTTATCCAGCTCATTCAGTTGCATGGCAAACGACGTGAAGCTATACATCTACAAATACACACAAAAAAACTGTTTCCAGGACTGAATATTTAAATACAAAGCCATGAAGACTGTAAAATGATGCTTTATGATCTTGAGGTTTCTAAGCATCTGCATCTTTATGTGCTTGAATACACCATCCATCTAAACAGGAGTGTTTTCCTATGTGTCTAACCTCTGTTGAGTTTTCTGGTCTTGGGGCTATCCTCCACAGGAGCTGGCTGCCTGGGATCACCTCTACGGTGTCAGCCTCTGGTAAGGGGATCTCCTCCGCCTCCTCACCAGACCCCTGGACAACAGCACAAATGTATTTATCTTTATTTAATCAGGGAGACACCATTGAGACCAGGGTCTCTTTTACGAGGGAGCCCTGCATATACAATTTCATAAAGTACATCAAAAAATCTAATACAATACAGGAACACGAGAGGAGCACTCCAATGAAGCTCTTCTACCTACAACTGTAAGAGGTGTCACATAGCACAGTATATATTTTTTTACATTTTACACTTTCAACATGTTTAACTTGACACCCCAGCACATTAAATTATTGGCAGTAACAAAAACCCTCAGGAATGGAGAACTCAAAGCATGTGTTTGCCATGTAATGGATTACATGAGTTTATGGGGTATACACACCTGTTTGCTGCTTTTCTTTTCCTCTGTCCCCTTCCCACTTCTCTTATGTGCCTCCAATGCAGCAGAATCCACTATGTACATACACTCTGTCCACTTGCCATAGAGAGAACAGACCTTCTTTTTGCTGTGCAAAAACACAAATACTGTCGGTTCAAACACTGACTTCCGTCAATATGGCAACATGCTGGAGAAATATATGAAAAACGTGAGGTACTTTAATAGGCTGGCGAAATCAAAGCCGCTACAACATTAAAATCATACCTTTTGTCCAGAATGTAGCCTTCAACTTTGTGCAATTCCTTGCCAAAAAGGCCACAGGGTTTGAAATTCAGACAGCATCTTTCTCCAGTTCTGTGAAAAAAAAGCAGAAATACCATCAAATAATTTTCTTTTTCATTGTCATACTTCCTCATTCACACATTGCACTTCCTATCTTAGTCTAAACATGTGAGAGTGTTTCCCTTACTTGTGGTTAAGCACCTCCAAGTTGCCATACTGCTCAATCCACAGCTGCCCCACAATGATATTGTGGACGCAACATGTAGGGTTTGTCCATGTGTAGGCCTCATTATACCTGGAAGTACAAATAATAACTTTAAAACAACATATCTTTGAACAATACATTTTGGTTTCACACAGACAACATAAGAAAACATCACACATTAACTGTTGTGTTGTTTGAATGTTGTGTGAATGTTACAGTGCATGAATGAGCAGGCTTACTTGGGCAGCTCCAGTGTGATGATGCCTTTGGGTTCAGCCTCCACGCTCTTGCCCCAGAACTTGAGTTTGGGGTAGATGGAGCCGTGGAACACAAAATCTTTCTTCAGGCCTTCAGCGTGGAACGCACTGACTGGTGGGTGGTGGCTCACCTGCTCTGAGATCAACCTGAACCCCAGGTCTTCTCTGCCAGAGAAAAGGGTGGGGATTGTGAGGGTAAGAGTAGTAACCCATGCTGTAAAATGGCTGGCTCAACACTTCTCATCATCCAAATAAATCACCAGTGCTAGAGATGTACTCCTCCCTCCATCTCCCTCACTCTTACCTGACCAGTTCGTAGGTCTCTCCCAGTAGCGGGTTGAAGGGTTTTCCAGTTCTCTCCCACTGAGAAGCCACAGCAGACACAGCAAACGCTGCCACACACTGCCAATGCAAAACAGATGACTTGATGTAGAGATGTATGGACCTTTCTGGACACATGGACTTTTCTTTACCATTTTCTTTCTACATGCAGTATGTGTGTTATACAATATGTTTCTAATCTTGTCGCTCTCAATTCAAGTGGACAAAAAAAGTTGACCAAAAATAAATCAATAATCAAACCCATGTTCCAGATCATTTCTCTTGTGTGTACCTTCATCCTCTCTATGGAGTCAGAGGAGGCATTGGCCTGGTGGATGAGATACGTGTGCTCCATGTACTCTGTCAGACGCTGCAGGAAGCTCAGGGGCTCATTAAAAATCACTGGCATGGTAATCTTAGACAGCTCCTAAAAGAGAGAGAACAAGAGAAAGAAAGAGAAAACGAGAGAGCACAAGTCAGCTCACAAGTAGTTGTACTATGTGATTCCTATCTTTCAACCATTAAATAATAAAAAGTATATTGGAATGAGGAATGAGTAGTTATGCAATTCACCATGGAAATGTGGCATAACTCAAACATCCCATAGGCTCATCATAGCATGACAAGCTATAGCGAAATAATGAAATGTAAAATTCACACACAAATCCTACTCAGAGCATCAATTAGTCCACACAGAACCAAGAAAAGCTGAAGCACTGACATTTAATCACTTACAGTTCTGGGCCATGGCCAAACATTGACCAGGATTAGTTTTCATACTAGGGTTCTGCCTTCGGAAAGTATTCTGACCCCTTGACTTTTTCCACATTTTGTTACGTTACAGCCTTATTAAATAAAGAAAATTCCTCAGCAATCTTCACACAATACCCCATAATGACAAAGTGAAAACAGGTTTAGAAATTTTTGCAAATGTATTACAAATAAAAAACAGAAATACCTTATTTACATAAGTATTCAGACCCTTTGCTATGAGACTCGAAATTGAGCTCAGGTGCATCCTATTTCCATTGTTCATCCTTGAGATGTTTCTACAACTTGATTGGAGTCCACCTGTCTATATAAGGTTCCACAGTTGAAGGCACACACCTGTCTATATAAGGTCCCATATTTGACAGTGCATGTCAGAGCAAAAACCAAGCCATGAGGTCGAAGGAATGGTCCGTAGAGCTCCGAGACAAGATTGTGTCGAGGCACAGATCTGGGGAAGGGTACCAAAAAATTTCTGCAGCATTGAAGGTCCCCAAGAACACAGTGACCTCCATCATTCTTAAATAGAAGAAGTTTGGAACCACCAAGACACCAAACTGAGCAATCGGGGGAGAAGGGCCTTGGTCAGGGAGATGACCAAGAACCCAATGGTCACTCTGTGGAGATGGGAGAACCTTCCAGAAGGACAACCGTCTCTGCAGCACTCAACCAATCAGGCCTTTATGGTAGAGTGGCCAGACGGAAGCCACTCCTCAGTAAAAGGCACATGACAGCCGGCTTGGAGTTTGCCAAAAGGCACCTAAAGACTCTTAGACCATGTGAAACAAGATTCTCTGGTCTGCTGAAACCAAGATTGAACTCTTTGGCCTGAATGCCAAGCGTCATGCCTGGAAGAAACCTGACACCATCCCTACGGTGAAGCATGGTGGTGGAAGCATCATGCTATGGGGATGTTTTTCAGTGGTAGGGACTGGGAGACTAGTCTGGATCGAGGCAAAGATGAACAGAGCAAAGTACAGAGAGAGATCCTTGATGAAAGACTATCCCCATCCAACCTGACAGAGCTTGAGAGGATCTGCAGAGAAGAATGGGAGAAACTCCCAAAATAAGGGTGTGCCAAGCTGGTAACGTCATACCCAAGAAGATTTGAGGCTGTAATCGCTGCCAAAGGTGCTACAACAAAGTACTAAGTAAAGGGTCTGAATACTTATGTACATTTAATATTTCAGTTGTTTTATAGATTTGCAAACATTTGTAAAAACCTGTTTTTGCTCTGTCATTACGGGGTATTGTGTGTAGATTGATGAGGGGGGGGGGGGGGGGGGGGGGAACCATTTAAATCCATTATAGAATAAGGTTGTAAAGTAACAAAATGTGGAAAAAGTCAAGGGGTCTGAAAACTTTCTGAAGGCACTATATATTACCTTCCCCGGCTACTGAACCACATTCCACATCAGGATTACGACATGTTAGAGCCTGTACATGCTCTAAGCCGTAGCTAAAGAAAAGCCACACAGAGTTGTATAGATGTACGTTACATACTGCACAAAACATCAGTATAGGAGTGACTGAGCTACATTACAGGGACTATTATGGCCATGCTTTAAGAGGAAGGTTCCTATTATTCATCATGTTACAGGGGTTTGGAGAGGAACAATAAAGCAGAGTGCTGGTTGGTAGCTCACCATGCCAATGCATTTCCTCAGGATACTCCAGATGCTAAAGTCATTTCTGGAGAACATGGGTGCTGGTAAACTTGTTCTGGAGTGAGGGACATCCATACACAGACACACACATAAAATAAGGTAAATGTACAAATGACACAAGTATCACTATGTGCTCTGTTGACTTTGACTCTACCCTTATCGTGCAGTGATCTGCATTTCATTCGATTAGACGTGCCAGACATGTAACAGATGCTATATATCTAATGCAGGAGTCATATCTTATTCAGGCGAATATAGTCTGATGAGTGCAACAAAAGCCTTCAGTTAAGTTTCAAGCACGTGTAGAGCGGACATATTGGACCAAGGCCCAGGTATATAAAAGGTGTCCAGTAGCCAGCCGTGGAAATATCTGCTCCTTGAGGCCTTCACTGCTACTCTATTTAAGGTTAGAGTAATTTGACCAACACATGTACATGTAGGCGCCTGCATTCACATGAACACCTACATTCAACATAAACTCTTGCTCACACAAAGACAGGTAAAGAAGATAAAAACCTGTGGATACGCTAGTTCACACATCCCATTTAGTGAATATGCTATTTGATTCACTTCCTAACTGCCAGTCTGGTTGGGTTTGGCTAATTCAACCACCACAGGTTGTTTTTTCATGTTTATTTTCTTTGAGACAATGAATGAGACTGAGTGGAAAAAGCAATACAATTAATGGCCATCCCAAAAACCTGGCCTCCACTCCTACACCCTGATCAGCCTCCAGACTGAAGGGATCAGTGTACATAGGATCCTGCCGAGTTCCGATTATTGCATTACATTGTGACCTCAATGTTTAACTGGTCCTACACAGTGCTCGGCCTTCTCAATGAGAGCCTTTCTCCTGCCTGGCTCGCTAAATTATTCACACTGACTCTGACTTGGCAGGAACAGGGAAAACCCTAAAAATACCCTATAGGTATGAGCCTGGCAGTCTAGGAACACAACAAGTAAACAAGCAGTAAGGTAAATACAAGACTAAAGAACAAGACTTAGTTTTAGGAGCTGGAAGAAACTCCACCTCTGTATTGAGTTAGTCCTAAGAACCACTCATTTTCAACACTGGTCTAAAGTAAGAGAGTGCATTAACCACAGAATGTTTCTTTGCCTTTGCCACTGTTCAAGGCCTTTTTAGAACAGCAAGGGATTCTCTCAAACAGAAAGGGAGGGACAAAAGTTGAATTAACAAACAAGAAAAATATGACTATATGGTAAGGTATTGTGCAAAGAGGCAAAGTGACTTTTCTTTCCAGGTTTAATCCAAATCGGAAGCTTCTACCTTCTAGCTAAAACAGCTGTGTAATGTAAACAGGACCCTTGTCTATGTGTGCTTGGATGTAGGGTGGATGGGATAGAAGCTGGGTGGGTAGGAGGGGTGTGTCGGGGGGGCACCTGGCTCAGCTCACCTGTGCCTCACGATCCCATTGGGTTGGGACTCATCCTCATTCCTATGGTGATCCTCTCGAGACATGTTGGTGAGGCTGCTACGCTCGCTGCTGAACAGGACAGATCCTTCCTCGTCCTCGTCGAACGAATGGCTGGCCACCGTCTCAAAGCCGCTCAGAGAGTGCTCCGATTCCGAGTCTGAGAGGGAAAGGTGTAAGCAGGCATGTTGTAAAGGCAGGGACTGGAAATATGAGTTACAGTGCTATGAATGACTGTGTGTCGCTATTGGCAACTGACACTTTTCCCTGAGCCTCACTAAAGCCCTGAGGGAAGACACCTGATCTGTGGATAGAGTTGCATTTAAAGAGCCCTGAACCAACAGATGAAAGCTGAAGGCATCACTCAATCGATCATTACAAAAATCATCCTAACTATTATCACAGGCCATCTTGTAAAGGACTGTTATAAGCATTTTCAAAGTTGAATAGTACTTTGTAGGAATTTAGGCATTGCTCAATTGCAACTAAATTGGTGCACACATTACATTCAAACAAACAAGTCATCTTAGCACAACATGTAAACACATAGACCGTAAAATACATGAACAGCTAAAGGTATCAAGAAAATAATCATAGTGTCAAACAGGTGAGACAAGCTCTCCCACTTCAATTCCAATCCGATCGTAAAATAAAAACAAGCCATACTCACCAGACACAGCGTCGTGGAAGTCATCCTCACTGAGTGCGCCCTGCGGAGAGGAGCCCTTGACAACGGACTGCTCTAGTTCATGGTGCTCTGTAGCCAGAGTCTGTAACGCTTCAGACAGAATCTTATTCTTCTCCACCTCCTGCTCCAATTTCAGACTGCGCACCTGAGCCCCAAACACACACACACACACACCACAAAACAAGCACGCACGCACACAGTATAATTCATAAATCATACAGTATATGTTTGATGGCACTTTATGGCCTACAAATATCAACACTGAAAAGCAAGTTACAGTATACAGTGAATAGAGTATAGATATCAGCAGAGCTCTCTGTACAGCTGTGAGGACCTATGTTGTGTAGGTCGGTAGACTACAAGATTAGCATACTGACTGACCACTCTCTTTACTGTGCTCAGATCAGCAGACAGACATCACAGGGCCAGAGTGAAGCAGTGCTGAGAGGAACAAGACATGTTTGGCTGTAGTGCCTTAAACCTGACATCTCAAATGGCCATCCAGAGAACATGATCCTCATGGAACAAAGGAGATCAGATGACCACAATAGGCAAGGAAATGGCCAATTCGACATACTAGCTACTATCTTCTGTGGAAATACAGTATATAAAAATAGATTTTTTTTGTAAAACAATATATAGAACTGTGGATTGTTGAATCTTGGCCCCTGACCACTTCCTGTTGCGTGGCATACGTTGTTTTTTTTATTATTGTAGTGAGAGCCGTCAACATGTTGCAGCTAGCTCCCCTTCCTCTCTCCCCTTTTCTGTGTCCCAAATGTGTAATTTGCACTCCGACCTGTGTACAGTTTTAGTTAGCTAGCTTGCTTTCGCTATAAGAGGTAGCGAACGCTGAGGTATAAGGGTCGAGTGCGGTGTTTCTGGGGTTAGTTGAAACAGGATAATGTGCGTGGATCACTGCTATGAAGGTCTGGCTACATTTCACTGTTATTTGATTAGTTAATCTGCTAGCCAGCTAGCTATCTGTTTTCGAATAAGTGTCTGAAGGCCTAGCAAAAGCTGTCTATTCTGTTAAAAGCTGTCTATGCCACCCAAAAATTACTTTGTGCAACAGGAAAATAAATGTGATTGTGGGTTGCTGTAACATCTCTAGCTAGTTCTAGCTCTTGACTAGCTAACGCTGTGAGACACAATAATAGCTACATCCATGTATTGTTGCTAAGCTACCATAGCTGCGCTCTGTGCAAACAACCGTGATATAGCTATAGCCTTTCACCCTCAAAGCTTGTCAAGTTAACCCTGCAATGGACCTTGTGCTAGCTAACTAACTAACTAAACGTAGAGGACTTGGCTACATTATTTTATATTATTAGGCTTAACGTTAGGCACGGTAGCTAGCTAGCTAGATATATCGAAATGCCAGCCCACAATCATAAGCCTAATGTGTCTACTACTACAGTTCAGTTCCATTCCCATGTTTGTGTTGCCCGGCCCGGTGCTTAAACCAGCAACCTTCCAGCTGCTGGTCTGCCTCTCCAACCTCTGTTTCTCAATCCTGGTCCTGGGGACCCAAAGGTGTGCACATTCTTATTTTTGGCTTAACACTACACAGCCGATTCAAATGATCAACATCTCTAGCATTGATTATTTTAAAACAGATGTGTAGTACTAAGGCAAAAACAAAAATGTGCACCCCTTTGGGTCCCCAGGACCAGGATCAGGAAACACTGCTCTAGGGCTAGGCTACTACAGGAGCAATGATTAAGTGTGGTGCCATGACTACAATGGAGCAAGCCCAAGATGACAAAAAAATGGGTATGGAATTGAACTGGCAGCTGGAAGGCTCCCATGTACCATCTCCTGCCATTGTGCCCTTGAGCAAGGCACTTAACCCCCCCCACAATTGCTCACCACCTAGGGGTGCTGCACTGCAAGGTGTTGGGAAAAGCAGAAGACACATTTCAGTTCTAACCAATGGACAATAAAGTATATATTCTGTTCTTGTCACAAGATGACTCAAGATCTCTACACCCACACTGATGTTGCCTCTATTGCAGCACTGTACAAGTATTCCTTGTATTGTACTACACTGCCATTACTGTATGTATGTAAACTATTCTGTATCTTCAGAACAAATAAACTGTTTATTACTATGCCTACTTCAACATTTGATACTGTGAAAGACTGTCTCTATTACTATGACTGAGTATTATTGTGAATTACTTGTTTGCGAAATATTGTGATATTGTGAGACTAATATAATTCGCATTATAACGTTTACTTTGTTACTTTGTTGAGAGCGCCGAAATGAGAGCTAAAATTATACCTTTGAACTTAAGATGGGTTAAATGGAATACTAAACGCAATCTGGACACTGACAGGGCTATAACATCTCGCCACTATCCAGGCCTAGTACCCCACGTCCTCTGAAGTGTCTGTCTGGCTAGCTCCGCCTCCGACTTCTCCATACACTGACTAGGCTACATGTAATGCCACTTTTCCGTCTTTATAAGTAGACTTTGTTTACTTTTCTGCTTGTAACATGCATTTGACATGTTGCGTTCTCTAGGGGAGCTAGCTAGCCGGATGTAGGGTGGGGACGCGCGTTTTAAATGACTTTGTTATTATTTACGTTCCAAAAAAGGTTTATACCTAAAATATATCTCATGACCACACACCTTCTCCTTTCAAAAACTGCATTCCTTGGATCCATTGAAACATTGTGGCTTAGCTGGTACTTCTCTGCATAAAGCCAGACATATGAGCCCAAAAAGTGCATTCACTTTCAAGAGACAGCAAGGAGAGTGTTTCAGGTGAGGGCAACTCGTGAGGGTCGTGAAGGTATATACACCACAATGAACTACAGTACAGCTCAACTGTAACCAAGGCTGGGAATTGATGGGAGTGGAAGCAGACTTGCATTGTAATTGGACCGCCCTACTTACAGATGACATAAGGTAGCATATAAACAAACAGCAAGATGTCTCTGAGGACTTGGTAGAAGTCTGTCTAGGCCTCCACTAAGATCCACTGAAACATCTCATTCAAAGTCAATAACTAACAGCCTGAATGTAATGGATTAATTAACAGTAACAACACAGGCAGTAACTACTTTAGGACCAATCTGCTCAACTGTTTTATAACGAGAGATTATGCAATAATCAGAGTCCCATCCTGTGCAACTTCAGTATAATTATAAATAGCATATCCAACATCATATGATAACCAGGGAGCTGATGTTATTATTATCCCTCACGTTGATGAGGATTCACCAATAAATGGAGAGAAAATCCAAGCTGAAGTAATAAAACTACAGATTCATCAACAATGTAAAATGTCTGTCCAACAGCTATTGTCATCGTTAGTCTCTGTAACACTGTAATAACATCACTGATTCCCAATCACATGTAAAGAGATATATATATATATATATATATATATATGGCAGTATCATCATTGTTATCATACTTAAACAACATCTACAACCACAAGATGCAGTAGCAGTGAGACAGTCACACTTCAAACCAGGAACCAACTACAATAACACACTTACACAATCACAGCAAAGCTCACTGAACCCAAGTCGCAAATAAACTCACAATAAATGTAGCCTCCTCCATTTGCTTTGCTGGTAAATACTTTCTCCCATAGGATAGGCCTTCAGTGGGATTACTGGCATTCGTCTGTGTGCTCACAGAACAGTGCACTGTTGAGGAGCCAGCAGCAACGACAGCAGTAACAGAATCACCCATCAGGAGATGCTGTGTTATAAATCAGCAGATGATGGTACTGTAGTAGCACCTAGCAGCAGTAGGAACAGTTGCCGTCCCAGTAGTTTGAGCTGGAGAGTGACTCTGAGCAATGGCGGATGTAGTTCTGTAGAGAATCACTATCAGACAGTCACTATCCACCAGAGTGAGTTCAATCCTCCACAAAGCACTCAATTAGATTGACATTTTAGTCCTTTAGCAGACGCTCTTATCCTCTATGAAGTAGTTCTAGTCACAGACATGCTCCGTCTCCACTCAAATTATTAGTGATCTCTGTGCTGCATCTCTCTTTCCTTCACTATCTGGCAGTGATGAAAATGTATGCACTCACTAACTAAGTCGCTCTGGATAAGAGCGTCTACTAAATGATTAAAAGGTCAAATGTAAAAAATGATGACACATGACCACATGTAGAAATGAGTGACACTCCTCTTCACTCTACCACATCATTAGACTCAAGTTCTCTCCCCCTCTCTGTAATCTCAACATATCTGGACTATTGAGCAAACATAAACACTACACTTACATCTAGGCATTTCCACCTCATACAAACAGATATAATGTACAGTATGATGTAAATGCATGTGGACACATTAGTATATAAAATTGTGCCTCATTAATAGTTCACCCTCAGGTCCATGTACACCATTGTATGGGAGAGCAACACCTACCAAGGTCATGACAGCTGGTCAGTTTTATACTGTACAGTGGCTCCACAGCCTCCTCCACTCAAGGGCCAGCTAGCTAGCACTGCTAGGCTGTAGAGCCAATCTCAAGGGGAAGCTAGCTAACACTGTTAGGCTGTAGAGCCCATCTCAAGGGGAAGCTAGCTAGCACTGCTAGGCTGTAGAGCCCATCTCAAGGGGAAGCTAGCTAGCACTGCTAGGCTGTAGTGCCCATCTCAAGGGGAAGCTAGCTAGCACTGCTAGGCTGTAGAGCCCATCTCGAAGCCACTGTTATGGAATGAGGCTGGAGCAATGACTTCTTCTGCCTCACTGCTCATCATTGCTGTTTGAACACATTCACCACATGACCCTGTGATAGAAGCCGGAGAGACTGCTCTCTTTGACAGCTCAAATATTACAAGTTCAACTCAAATGTAGGAGCCAAAAGTCAAAATAATGATTATAGTTCCAATGCATTGCTCAGTCACTTATACTTATGTGATTGTTGAGACCTATAATACAACACATCCTGAGCTGAAATAGACATTAGCACCACAGTAATATAATCTGGGAAGCCATGGGACACTCTGTAAAGTGGTAACAGTGGTTGGCCCCTGACAGCTGTGACATCCTGCACTGTATGGTTGATAATCTAGATGAATACTTCATTTAATCTGTCATAGCCGTAGCAATCCATCTGCCAGATCAAACATTAATTAGGCCTACACCCGGATGCTCATTTCTCCTTTGCCACACAATCTTAGGTTAGGATGAGAATAGTAAAATAATGCAAATAAGCTCTTACTAAAAAGCCAATTCAATTGCACATAAACAATTACTGTACATAACCAGCCAAGACTTAGACGTAATGCAGAAAAAATAACATCTTTATCTATTCTCTACGTTATCTCTCCTGGATGTTTAGCTAGTGTAATGTTGTCCATCCCTATTCTGGAGCTCAGCTCAGTTATGTACTGGAACTCAGCTTGATTCTCTCTGTGCAACTCAAATGTGTGTATACCAAAGATTCTACTCTCAGAGCACTGGGAATTGGGACACTGCGTTTTTGTGAGGCTGCGTGTATGTGGAATACTGCTGAATCTTTCTCCTCACAGTGTACCCTCTGTAATCAAGTGACTTTGTGAGCGCTTATCGGTAGTAAAAACTAAGTCTATTGGCAGAGCAATGAAGTTAGTTGACACAGAAGTGAAGTGACGTACCCCATCCTGTCTGGAGAAGAGGCTGAGGCAGTGGTTGAGATTAGAGTAGGTCTCACTGGACAGCTCACACACCTCCCTCATCTTCTGCAGCATCGCGGGTGGCAGCTCTGAGGGGACAAACAAGACCACAGGACATTGTAGTGGTGTTCTGAGAGAACAGTCAAATAGAGTTTGTAACGGTAACATCAAATTTACCACTAAAGCCTGGTCGGCTGAATTCAGAATACATTTAAAGGGCTATCGCTGCATCCTAGTCTTACCCTGAAGATGGGTCAATTGGTTTAGGCACAAGCTTCTATTGTAAGTGAAATACACTAAAAAGTGCAATTACATTTGACATTTATGCTATGAATGAGGGTATTGTACTACATGTCTGTGGAAATGGAGTTCCTATGAAAGAAAATGCTTTACGCTCTGCAAGTCCGTATTCCTTCACCAAGGAGAGGAATGCTCCAACCTCCTTCTCCAGCTTCAGGTGACAAGCTTCAGCTGACTGCCAGGGAGGAGGCGAAAGAAGAAAGAGGGGAAACACATGACCACCATACTTAAAGACATACTGCAACATTTGTATGTCTCTGCATGCAGTATGAAGGAAGTTAGAGGTAGTTTCACGAGCCAGTGCTAACTAGCGCTAGCGCAATAACTGGAAGTCTACAGGTACGTTAGGGTTTACTGTGAATTTTAAGGATCTTTAGCTTCCTCATTACATGTAAAAAAAAATATTTGAGAGAATAATACACAAATCTATTGCAGAAGGAGAATTTACATTTTCACCATGAGAGAGGTGAGGAGAGACCTCAAGAGAGAAATAGCAACAGTCAGATAAACAGGTTGTAGACTGGCATGTCACCTGTAGTGATTCCGCCAGCTCTCCCACACTCAACACTTCTTCCTCGTCCTCCTCGCTGCCCTGATCCTGAGAGCAGTAGTGTGTGCTGTAGGCAGAGTGTTCCTCCATAGCATCCATCCACCTCTGTAGGACAGAACAAACATGCACTCATCTGAGCTGCACGATGGATTTAAGTGTACTGTGCTGCTTCATATTCTGCTCTTAGGCTAATAAATTGGGCTCTCACATGACAGGAGGAAAAATAGGTTATGAGAATAGTGTAATTTGTTGTCTGCGAGTGTATCAGAGTGTTTGTAGGTTTGTTCAAATGTAGGCTGTTTTTTTCTAACAGAAAAAATACATGCTTTTGTTCAAACAAAAAAAAGATGTTCCTTAGCTTACGAAAGCTATAGAACAAAAACAGAAGCAATGAAAAGCAGTATGGATAATATACAGTGCATTCGGAAAGTATTCAGACCCCTTCCCCTTTTCCAAATGTTGTTACGTTACAGCCTTATTCTAAAATGGATTAAATTAAAATGTTTTCCTCTTCAATCTACACACAATACCCCATCATGACAAAGTGAAAACAGTTTTTTTTTTTTTGCACATTTATAAAAATACCTTATTTACATAAGTATTCAGACCCTTTGCTATGAGACTCGAAATTGAGCTCAGGTGCATCCTGTTTCCATTGATTATCCTTGAGCTGTTTATACAACTTGATTAGAGTCCACCTGTGGTAAACTCAATTGATTGGACATGATTTGAAAAGGCACACATCTGTCTATATAAGGTCTCGCAGTTGACAGTGCATGTCAGAGCAAAAACCAAGCCTTGAGGTCGAAGGAATTGTCCTTAGAGCTCAGAGACAGGATTGTGTCGAGGCACAGATCTGGGGAAGGGTACCAAAATAATTCTGCAGCATTGAAGGTCCCCAAGAACACAGTGGCCTCAATCATTCTTAAATTGAAGAAGTTTGGAACCACCAAGATTCTTCCTAGAGCTGGCCGCCTGGCCAAACTGAGCAATCGGGGGAGAAGGGCCTTGGTCAGGGAGGTGACCAAGAACCCAATCTTCCAGAAGGACAACCATCTCTGCAGCACTCCACCAATTAGGCCTTTAGGGTAGAGTGGCCAGACGGAAGCCACTCCTCAGTAAAAGGCACATGACAGCCCGCTTGGAGTTTTCCAAAAGGCACCTAAAGGACTCAGACCACGAGAAACAAGATTCTCTGGTCTGATGAAACCAAGATTGAACTCTTTGGCCAAGCATCACGTCTGGAGGAAACCTGCCACCATCCCTACGATGAAGCATGGTGGTGGCAGCATCATGCTGTGGGGATGTTTTTCAGCGGCAGGGACTGGGAGACTAGTCAGGATCGAGGGAAAGATGAACAGAGCAAAGTGTAGAGAGATCCTTGATGAAAACCTGCTCCAGAGCTCTCAGGACCTCAGACTGGGGCGAAGGTTCACCTTCCAACAGGACAACAACCCTAAGCACACAGCCAAGACAACACAGGAGTGGATTCGGGACAAGTCTCTGAATGTCCTTGAGTGGCCCAGCTAGAGCCCGGACTTGAAAATAGCTGTGCAGTGACGCTCCCCATCCAACCTGACAGAGCTTGAGAGGATCTCCAGAGAAGAATGGGAGAAACTCCCCAAATACAGGTGTGCGAAGCTTGTAGCGTAATAAAGGCTGTAATCCATTTTAGAATAAGGCTGTAATGTAACAAAATGTGGAAAAAGTAAAGGGGTCGGAATACTTTCCGATTGCACTGTACAGTAATATTTCTGTAAAACAAACCAAATCTCACTTTTCTTGTTGCCTCAGGGTCATTCTTGGGGGACACTTTGAAATGATGCACACTGTCATCGAAGCACTTGAGGGTGAAAAAGCAGTGGTCTCTGGCTTTGATCTGAAAAAGAAAATAGTAAAACACAATGTCATATTCTACCCTAATATTCCAGTAAATACTGTCACCATGTTAAATCTGATGAGAGAACAAACAATCATGGCCTACCAAACAGTGGGCTTGGGTCAGGGGCTTACAGCCTTGTCTTCGGACATTGGCAGCTGCATCCAACCTTAGCAGGCAGAGAGAGAGAGAATAGGTGTAAGAATCTAGTATGGGTCAAGGGTGTCCTTTAGCAGTTGAATCTAACTTAAGATTCACATCTGCTGTTGAAACTATTGTACCAATCATAGAACTTCAGGAAGAGGTTAAAATGACCAAGCTTGTGTCTAAAGAAGAAGAGAGAGCACCTACTGTTTAGAGTACCAGGACAGAACCCCATCTTGGAGGACCACCCAGTAGGAACGCCAGCCTAAAAACCGGGAACTCTGACAGAAGGTTCAGGACAGGAAGAGTTTGTGTTTATACGTCATCAGTCACATACATGAAAATGTTAGCAAGTGATAATAAGCTTTTCACTGTTGACAACATGACAGTGGAAATAGTGGAATCATCTGTAAACATCTGTACCTTCCAAAGGGCTCCTTCAAACATCTGGACATGGTGAGTCATACCCTTTGAGACACAGTTTAGAGACAGCAACCATTACAAATGATTTCTCCAACAACATCATGTGCGGTCAAGTAAGACTTCAATAATTTTTGTACATAACAAATCACTTTAGCACTCACTTTATGAACATTGCCTTCCAGGATCTGCTTTATCTCTGTGTTGTTGGCGAGGTCAAACACAGTCTGATCTGTGCACCAGTCAGAGAAAAGGAATAATTATACAGAAAACTGGCACTGATGTTAAAACAAACTTGAAACTTCTAAGCAACCCATCTCATATGCACCCTTTCATTCACTGACTGAGCCCATCTTTACCCTTCTTGTTCTTGATGTTGGGGCTAGCACCCTTCTTTAGCAGTTTCAGGGCACATAGCTTCTGACCACGGTAGGCAGCGCAGTGCAGTGGGGTGTTACCCAAGAGATCACAGCAGTTCATGTCTGGAGGCTTTTTCCTGTTAAGCTAAAACAAGAGTGACAAAAAGAGCCTGTTGGGTAAAAAGACAAAACCCTGAAGGATATGTTTCTTATCATACACTGAGAGAAAAGTTTTTATTTTGAAATGGGTAAAGTAACAGATATTGTGTGAACCCAAACTTTGTATTGAACCTGAGTCAAGCGCTCACCAGCTGTGACAGGGTAGAAAGGTCTCCCTCTCTCGCTGCCTCCAAAAGCTCTTCTTCTAGTTTCCTCTCCTCTGTCCTCTCTGCCGCTGAATGGATTGAGAAATAATTCATGCCATTATCGACTCAAAGATTTGTAACAAACATTTTTACAAACACTGATTCAGGTGCTTCTTTTTGGCCAACATAAAATAAGTTGTTAAACTATTCTGAATATGTTGTGGACATATTACACAGTTATTAATATGTTAAGGACATTCACTTACCTTCCAGCATGCTTTTGATCTCCCCATTCTGAGTGACATCTTTAGGAATCTGTGCTGTTCCATTGATGACAGTGGCACATGCATCATAGCGTAACAGCAACATGACAACCTCCTGAACAATGCATGATTTAGTGAATGGTTGATTGAATGAGTGAATGAATAAATGCATGCATGCAGGAACACTAAACAATCAATATCAACAAGTCAAACATGCATATAAAATTAAGAATAAACTCAAATAAAGACAGACGTAATTTGTATTTTTTTACAGTTTGGTACCTTTCTTCCGGTGAAGGCAGCTTTGTGCAGTGGTGTGTCTCCCACATTATTGGGCAAATTAACATCCGCTCCGGCCTGCAGGGAATATTCAACACACATGCATTAATTCTGCAAAAAAAATTGTTTAAACAATCATCCATCTCCTTATTAAAAATAAAGACGCTTCTTACAGTACCTTGAGTAATTCCTCCACCACAGCTCTGTGTCCAAAGTAACAGGCCAGGTGAAGAGGCGTCCATCCCAGGTTAGACTTACTCTTACCTGAGGACAGATTAGACACACTCACATTTCTGCAAAGCATTCCTATGTGTAGATAGAGAACAGTTACTGCAACCATCCTGCAGGATTATGCCCCTGGGCTTAAAGTTAGCTAAACCATTTTTCTAGACCAACAATCGAAATAGATTAGACACACTCAAATTCCTCAATACTGTAGTATACTAATGAAGAGCTTTGCTCATTCAAATAACTGACCAGCAGCAAGCAACTACTTCCAGTTGAAGTCGGAAGTTTACATACACCTTAGCCAAATACATTTAAACTCAGTTTTTCACAATTCCTGACATTTAATCCTAGTAAAAATTCCCTCTTAGGTCAGTTAGGATCACCACTTTATTTTAAGAATGTGAAATGTCAGAATAATAGTAGAGACAATTATTTATTTCAGCTTTTATTTATTTCATCACATTCCCAGTGGGTCAGAAGTTTACATACACTCAATTAGTATTTGGTAGTATTGCCTTTAAATTGTTTAACTTGGGTCAAACGCTTCAGGTAGCCTTCCACAAGCTTCCCACAATAAGTTGGGTGAATTTTGGCCCATTCCTCCTGACAGAGCTGGTGTAACTGAGTCAGGTTTGTAGGCCTGTGTGTGTGTTTGTACAGATGAACGTGGTACCTTCAGGCGTTTGGAAATTGCTCCCAAGGATGAACCAGACTTGTGGAGGTCTACAATTTTTTTTCTGAGGTCTTGGCTGATTTCTTTTGATTTTCCCATGATGTCAAGCAAAGAGGCACTGAGTTTGAATGTAGGCCTTGAAATACATCCAAAGGTACACTTCCAATTGACTCAAATTATGTCAATTAGCCTATCAGAAGCTTCTAAAGCCATGACATCATTTTCTGGAATTGTCCAAGCTGTTTAAAGGCATAGTCAACTTAGTGTATGTAAACTTCTGACCCACTGGAATTGTGATACAGTAAATTATAAGTGAAATCATCTGTCTGTAAACAATTGTTGGAAAAATTACTTGTGTCATGCACAAAGTAGATGTCCTAACCGACTTGCCAAAACTATGGTTTGTTAACAAGAAATTTGTGGAGTGGTTGAAAAACAAGTTTTAAATGACTCCAACCTAAGTGTATGTAAACTTCCGACTTCAACTGTACCTTTGCAGTTGATGTTGATGTTGGCTTCTTCTTTAATCTTGGACATGAGAAGCTTCTGGATGCCTGGAAGATCCCCATTCCTGGCATGACGCAGAAACTGGTCCTCTGGATCCAGATCCTCCATAGATAACTGAACAAGAAGAACAGATAGATAACTGAACAAGAAGTACAGAAAGAAGATCACAGCACTGAAAGACTGTCAGATTTAGGCTACTACTCCTAATACTGATATAAATTGCACATTCAACCAAACTGAAAATCAGATCTACTCTAGGACTAATTGAGTTCATACAGTAAATGAAAAATTGAAGGTGGTCAGTTTCACTTCTGTCAAATGTAGCATCTCTACAACAGTTCTTGAGGAAAATTCTTTATCTAGGCTTTTCCAGCAAGCAGAGAGCAGCACCATACACATTGTTACTCTCAAGACGCAAATAACTTTTGCTTTAAATCGTGGACTAAAATTAGCCTAGTTCGTCACTTGGATTGCAGTTGTAAAGCAAGATTAAAGTTGCCACATTTGGAAACATGTAGGCTACCTAATGCAATGTAAGGCCTATTTGGTCTAAAGGTAAGGCACATTTCTAAATGAAAAATGTCAGTGGAAATCACCTAAGAGGACAAGGAAACAACACAAATAGAAAAGGTTTCCGTCACCACACCAGCCCTGCAAGAAAAAACTTCAGCAGTTTCCTTATCGTACACCACAATTAACAATTATTAAGTCGCTCTGGATAAGAGCGTCTGCTAAATGACATAAATGTAAATGTAATGTCTGAGATTCCAAAAAATTAGCAGAAATGACTGTACAAAATAAATAATTCAAATACTCAGCTATATTGTATGCTCAAAAAATTTGGGAAATTATATTATTTTAAAAAGTGTTTTTTTCTCAAAGGTAGGAGTCAAAATTGTTGACAGCCCTGTTTTCAATACCACAACTTGAAAGGATAACGGCACTGAACCTTTTTCTAAAATGTTTTATGAGTTGGAGAACACATTGGGAGGGATCTTATACAATTTCGCCATACAGATTCTTTCCAGATCCTTGATATCCTTTGTCTGCACTTATGGACTGCCCTCTTCAATTCAAACCACAGGTTTTCAATGGGGTTCAAGTCTGGAATCTGAGATGGCTATTAACCATTTCTTTGTGCATTTTGATGAGTGCTTGGGGTTATTGTCTTGCTGGAAGATCCACTTGTGGCCAAGTTTCAGCCTCCCGGCAGAGGCAACCAGGTTTTTGGATAAAATGTCCTGGTACTGGGTAAAGTTCCTGATGCCATTGACCTTAACAAGGGCCCCAGGACCAGTGGAAGCAAAATAGCCCCATAACATCACAGATCCACCACCACATTTTACAGTAGGTAGGCTTATAGGGTTGTTTTCTGCTCATGCATTCTCATTTCGACGCCAAATCCACCACTGGTGTGCGTGACCAAAGATCTCTATTTTCATGTCATCCAACAAATGTAAATGCCTGGAGTTTGCTAAATGGCATTGGCACTTGGATTGGAACTGGTGCTTTGGTCAGATTACATTAAAATAGAGCTCTTTGGCCACCCACACCAGTTGAGCGTTTGGCGTCAAAATGAGAATGCATAAGCAGAAAAGAACCCCATAAGCCTACCTACTATTAAAATATGGTGGTGGATCTTTGATGTTATGGTGCCATTTTTAAATGGTTAATTGGCCACAAAAATCAACATTTTGCAATGGCCATCTCAGTCTCCGGACTTGAAACACATTGAAAAACTGGGGTTTGAATTGAACACGGTCTAAGATCCCTCCCAATGTGTTCTCCAACTCATAAAACATTTTAGAAAAAGGCTCAGTGCCGTTATCCTTGCAAGGTGAGGTATTGAAAACAGTGGTGTCAATAGTTTTGACCCTTACCTTTTAGAGATTTTTTTTTTTTACTTGTTAAACAAAATCTCTGTCTCTGAGCAAATGTATTAATTAGTATAAAATAATATAATTTCCCTTTTTGCATACAATTTACCCATATTCTATATTCATTTTCACTCATCTTTATCAAGGGTGTCAATAATTTCAGAACCCACTATACAGGAATTCAGCAATCATGCTACAGGTTAGGCCTCTAGGCTTACAGTTACGATTGAAGGTTCAACTAGTTTTCTAGACCAACAATGGAAAAAGAGAACTGTGTTATTTATTATTTATGTTATCCCCTGGTTTTGAGCAATCTCACCACTGGTAAATGTAACATTCTTGCAATTTAAAAAAACATTGGCCTATCTTGTGACTTCCTTGATTGAACTGCAAGATTATGAGAAGCCATTACTCAGCAAAACTAAGTATGAAACTAAATAGCTGCTTCCAAATTCCCTGAAATTATCACAGGTGTTTGATAGACAAAACGCATAGAGAGGACAATTTGATTGGTGTAGCCAATGGGATGTATTTGGAATGTTATTGACATTTACATCATTTAGCAGACGCTCATATCCAGTTATCTGAAATGTTTAGGCTACATCATCATGATGTTTGCAACAGGACACAAGACAGCCTGAAAAGACAAAATAGATATATTTGTGAACAACCATTCCTGCTGCTGAGAAAGATGCATTTCGTAATTGACAGAAATCGTGAATGCGCTTGAAAGGTCAAGGGATCGTGTTCAGTAGGGAGACAACGTTCTGGAATGAAGTGACACGTTGCGCCTACTAAACATCAAGACATGTAATGAAAGCTAAACAATTCAAAGAAAATCTAAATATGGACTAACCGTAAAAATCGTTCTGGGGGTGTCCTTCAGCCGGGGGATTGTTGTCGCATAGTCTTTGCTGCTGAATTTCTTCAGGAGTAGGCTAGGTTGCCATTGGCATGTGATTTTCTAATCCCTCGGTTGAAACTCTTCCTGTTTTCGTGCGCTCGCGAGTGAAAGTGTTTTGCAATACGCCTAAACTAACTACATCACAAGTCAGATCAGCAGGCCACATAGTTGGGAAATGTATCAAGCATCATGCATTTCAGCCTTTCCTAACAACAACAGTTGATAAACGCCCATTGCGAGCGTGTGACCGACCTATGTTTACAGTGATCAGCTGATCAAAGGTATTCACGATGTGCACGCGCACTTGTCCCGGGTAAGTGTTGGATTATAAAAAAGGCTCCTGTGACTACATTCATTTCATATTATAACTACTGTACCCTACGTAAATCATAGACCTATAGCTACTCAAATTGTATTGCCTAGTACAACGCATGTGTTATTCTTCTGAGGTAGACTTACCATAGCATTAATTCATTTACTTTCCAACGCTTCAATATTTTCCAATACAAGCTATTGATTAATTATCGACGTGAGTGATTATGGCATTTTACTTGAATAATTTGTATCCTTCCAAATGGTAAAATAAACTGTGCCCCGGAAGTGCAAGGTTGTAGTGTTTCTCGGTCACGCGCAGAGACTGTGTGCAAAGATGATCTATTATATTGACAAGATAGTCGAGTGACCGCTCTAACCACAGATAGAACAAAGAGACACATATTTCACCGGATGTATAAATGTGAAGCGTTCCCTTGGCGTTTCCACTCACTATCAAATATGGTAGTGAGAGGAAGCCCAGTGGCCGGCAGTGGGAGAAGATTGAACGAGATGGATTTTGGCCTACATTCTGCAACTTTTCTTATCGATGACACATTTTATCTCAATACAGTTTTCTGTTCCCAAAACTAGAATATGTTATGAACAGACTGGACTGAGGTTTGTAGACTTTACGCTTTGCCAAAGTTTTTTTTATTTTTTTAATCGCGTTGTTTAGGAGTGCAAAGGCGAATTGAGCTATTGCACACCCTAACAGAAATATGCAAACGTTTGCTAGAACGCGCCAATAGGATCTCGCTAACTTGTGCTTGGCTCTGCCCACCTCCTTGCTTGTTCTGCCCACTATGACTCATTTGTTCTCAATGAAAACGACAGGCTTATCTTGGGTTAGTTATAAAAATCTTTGCTCTAACAATGGAAACGCATGTCCTCAAAGATGGACAGCAGTGCACTTCCTATGCCTGTGATATGTGGTTGTCCCACAAAGCTATCTTAAGATGAATGCACTAACTGTAAGTCGCTCTGGGTAAGAGTTTCTGCTAAATGACAAAAAATGTAAAAAAATCAGGTCCGACTATTCTAGCCAATGAGAGGGCAGATACGCGTGTGAACAACAGGCACAACTCTAATATAAAGTCGTTCCCCCCCCCCCCCCCAAAGTTGCCAAAATACCACGTGCGTCCGTCCACTCAGTATATTCATAATGTGGGGATCTATTTTCTTACAACTAGATGTGATGCCTAGCTTAGAAATAATACATTAATGATTAAACATAATAGGTTTGTGCTGTACTGATATAGATTGTTTAACATAACAAGCTGTGATTAATGTGAGGAACCGTTAGGGGGTAGGCTGAGACAGACTTGTGATTCACACAGACACACACACTGCCTCTTTGTTAAACCGCTCAAGGACAAAGTACTGCAACATGAAGAAGAAAACTATGTCTGAGGTTGCTGACTCGAGACAAGTTGTAAAGATAACAACTAATGCCCGGCAACAGTGAAGCGCCATGGGGCTGGGACCAGCCTGTGCGCCATCGATAGGTTGGGTAAGTTTAAACCACACCCAGCCTCTACTCTGACAGGCCCAGCAGGGAGCGGGAACTATCTCTGTCAGAGTATTTAAAGAAGAACTTATAACAAAAGCTCAGTTCTCTGACTGCCCTGCGTGGTTTTTCAGTGGGCCCGTATATACGAACATCATATTTACCATTCAAGTGTTTGCATTAATTAAAATACTAGTCTATTTTAGAAGACGTGTATTGACCTCTTTTTGTTCCTATACCAGATTTGAATTGACGCAACTTAACAATTGGTGACCTCCGACGTGATCTGGTAGAGGGACTTCGCTGGATATCGTCCGGCCCATTGGACATCTCTGTCATTGGACGGTGTGTTTCACAAAGAGTCCGGACTACTAAAAACAGGTAGGCAGACCTCTATTGTTATATGACTGAAGTTCTGCACATTGGCTTTATCCAAATGAATTTTGTGAAACACCTGTTTGATGTAAGTGACCCAAATTGTAACTGAATACCTGAATCATTATCAATTACATAAAACACTATGGTGTGACATGCAAACTTATGGTAAATGTGAGTGTTAAACCATGGTATTATAGAGTATTGTTCCACTGACACGTACCAGAGGGCTAGGTACGGCTAGGATCGGGGAAAATACTGAAGTCCCCAGGCTAGGACCACCAGGGGTGAGAACTGGGGGTATAGGGAATTATTGGCTTAAAAGTGTTGCACTACTGACACGTACCAGAGGGCTAGGTACGGCTAGGATCAGAGTGACACTTACAATTTTAGATAGTGTTGCACTACTGACACGTACCAGAGGGCTAGGTATGGCTAGGATCAGAGGGGACACTTTAAAGTATAGGGTGTTGTATGAATGAGAGTGCGAATGATCCCAGTGTAATAAAAGAGTGTTTGCAGACTAAATAAAAGAGTGAATGCGGGTTACTCAAATTAATAAACCTGTATACCGTGATAGAAAACTAATTAGGAGTTAAAGAAGTCTGTGGTTGTTTAAACTGTACAATTTGTGAATAACTATTGGGCCTGTGGTTGCTTAAACCGTATAATTTGTGAATGATAATTGAGAATAAATATACTAAGGTAGAGAAATTAAAATTAAACATATTAAAAGTGAGACATAAAATATTAAACCAAACATTTTAAATTGTTTAGATTAGAGATAAAAAGAAGGAAGTGTCGTGTACATTAACATGGCAGGACACACAGAGGCGGAGAGGGTGCTGCTGAAAGTACTGAAATCCACCCTTGAAACAAACAGAGGAAAAGATGGAAAGGAGTGGAAACGAAGAGGAGAACAATTATACAAAGAGTGGATAGAAGACGGTTGTATAATTGCAACGGACGGGATCCCAGGAGGTGGAGAACCTGGCAGAATATTAGAAACACTGAAAAGAAGAACTCAGAAAGCGGAAGGTGAATGGAAGAATGAAGGGGAGCCCCACAAAGGCAAGAATAAAGATGCAATGGAGAAGGCGAGACTAAGGGAGCGGATCGGTCTGGCCATGCTTGAAAAATTGAAGAAAATGTGGGAGGAGAAAACAGGACAGAAGGAACGGACCCGTTTATACCCACCCCTACCAACAGCGCCACCACCATATGACGACCACCCAAAAACAATGGCTCCGGTTCTGGACATAGCGGGAAAAGTCCACTATCAACAAAGGACAGATGAGGAGGAAGAAGGAATGTGGGTCAGAAGGAGCGATATGACTGACAGAAGGGGAGACGTGGACATACTTCTAAAAGCTGCACAAGCGCTAGAAAAAGGAGTGTCTGAACTGAGTAGAATCGAGGGAGAGACGGGGTTGAGAACATGTCCAGATTACAGGAAGAAGAAAGTCGTATGAGCCTGACGGGTGATGGCGACAGGGGAGGCCTGGTGCTTGGTGGGGGGTGGACCCAGTCGGAGCAGAAGAACAGAGAAAGGGAGGACAGGGAGAGAGAAGAAAGGAAAAGGAAAGTGAAAATATTGGAAGAGGAAGTGAGAAGAGGCGCAAAGCAGCTGAAAGAAATGGAGAAAAGCATGCGAGATCTGAGTGAGGAAAGGAAACAAGGAAGTAGAGCAGCCTCTCCTCCCAGAGGACATTTCATAGATATGGGAGAAGAGCATGAAGAAGCAGTACCCACTGATAGCCTTACCTAATCTATTGGCGGGGAATGAAAGAGGCCCCAGCAACCTTAGATGTATAACGTATGAACTTGCTCACCTGAACGTAGACGTACATCATGGGTGAGAAAGTAGAGAAAATGAGTTTAAGGTTGTGCCGTTGTTTGATTATGTGATAAGGTTTAATGGGTAATCGGACCATAACTAATGAGGTTATAGAAGTAATGTATAATATTTTCCCCCTTGCGGCAGATGTGGATGCGGGTGCGTTTGCACGCTCGGCCCATTTCTTCCGCAGTCAACCATGTGGTGTGCATTTTTGTGTTTGAAAAGGTGCGGCGTTAAGTGAGTGAGAGGGGAAATGGTTGCATATCCCAGAGCCGACCGGGGGTCTATGAGCAGGGGTAGTGAGAGAGAGAGCTTTCAATTTTGTGTAGATGAGGGATATACATTTTTAAATATAGTATACATCTAATCTAATTATTCATTGTCCTATCATGATGGAAAGATCCCTAACCCTATAACCTGGACACCCACCTGAGCGACCCATACACCAAAGAGAACTTCCCATCTATTTTATGGACCTGCTGTGAATATGCAGCCTAAACAGAGAAATAAATGCGGTCAGAGACCTACTTGAGCAGCACCGCCCCCTCAAGATTCTGAGCCTGCCTGGCAGGGTTGGTCCTACAAAGCCAGAGCCCCCTGATGGGAGAGCATAATATACAAGGAAATTCTCAAAGCTGCTAATGAGAACCTTGACGACCTTTTACCTAGCCGGTGGGGATTCCGGTGGGGTACGCCCACCCAGGTAGTGGCAGTGCTGGCAACACTGGCTGCAGTAACCCATGGGGAGGGGGTCACACTCGGACAATCAGAGAGGGGGTTTATCATTGTGGCCCAGGTGGCACAAAATAATCAAAGGTCTGACCGCATGGAGATGCTTGGGAAAATGGTTACAACAGGGGATCAGAGTGTTTGTGTCTCAGGTGAAGAGGGTGGATCTGATCTCCATCACCTAGGACTTGACATAGATTAAGTAGATTAATCAAATCTCACATTGTTATCAATTTCTGCTCAATCTGCATGCTTTCTCAATTAGCTTTAACTGTATGTGCACTCGTAGATCAAGTTATTTCTTGAGTTGGGCTCTGGGATATAACAGCCGTTGAGTATCGGATTTTATGGTGGATTGTGGAGGAGGGGGGTTGAGTATGTTGGAGTATGTGAGTATGTGCGTGTGTGCTTGTCTGGCATCTGTTGTGGGGGGGTGGGGATGTTGGGGGGGGGGGGGTATGGGATGGACCGCGGAATTATTTGCTAGGATAATAATTGCTTGTCAATGAATTAAATGTAATACAATGGCAATCCGGGTTATATGTTAGAATCCTATGCGTGAACTGCCGACATTATTACGCATATTAATTGATAATGATGGAAAATAGGATATGCATAATTTAAAAAATAATAATAGTTATATAGATATATATATATAGAGAGGGGAAAGCATTGGAAATGCTTTTGGCGGTTAATCTGCTTCTGTTTTGTGGGTGGCACTGTGTGCTGTTTTCGATGGATGGGTCCTGGCCTCTCGGGGCCTTAGGGATACGGAGGGACGTGGGTGGGATGCTGATCACTGGGATGACGGCTCAACTTGGGATGGGGAGGGGCTTTAGCGGGGGAATTAGTGGAGAACAATTGAAGGGTTACTCCGTAGCAATGCAAATATCACGGTACAGCTATATGGACACTCAATCATTACGCTATTTTTTATTGGTAAATTTACAAACATATATAATGATAAATAGACTTGAAACTTGTATCTCATTATGGTGTATGGTGAAATAAGTATAGCCAGTTATAATTGTAATGGCTTAGCTGATAATAACAAAAGAAGAACAATATTTACATGGCTCAAAGAGAAGGAATATAATATCTATTGTATACAGGAAACTCATTCAACAATTCGAGATGAAGTAGCGTGGAAAAAAGAATGGGGGGGGGAAATATACTTCTCCCATGGGCAAAGAAATTCAAAAGGGGTGATGATATTAATTAATAGTAATTTCGATCCGAATGTGCAAATTGTCCAAATAGATACGCAAGGTAGATGAATTATTTTAAATATGTATTGTATTGGACCATAAACAGATATGGCTCATTAACCTTTACGGACCAAATAATGATGATCCACAATTCTTTGACAATATATATAATAAATTATCAAGCCTGCAAGCAACTCAAGACAATATTATTATGGTGGGGGATTATAATACTGTTTTAAATAGCTCAATGGACCGAAAAGGAAATCACACCACAAACAATCACCCACATGCTCTTAAGGAAATTGTGAATGTCATGGATACATTAGAACTAGTAGATATATGGAGGCTTAAATATGCTGATCTAGTGAGATATACATGGCGGAGACTGAATCAAGCTAGTCGTCTTGACTTCTTTCTTATCTCATTCTCGTTGGCACCAAAGGTAAAAAAAGTGTTGATAGGGGACAGAATGCGGTCGGACCATCATATAATAGGCATATACATTACTCTGACTGAATTTCCACGTGGGCGAGGATATTGGAAATTTAATCAAAGCCTATTGGATGATAATGTATTTATAATTAGAACAAAGGAATTTATAACTGACTTTTTCCAACATAACATAGGTACAGCGAATCCCCTTATTGTATGGGACACCTTTAAATGTGCCTTTAGAGGCCATGCAATTCAGTACTCATCTCGAAAACAAAAGCAATTTAGGTCAAAAGAGTTTATACTAAGAAAGGAAATAGAAAGTCTAACAGAACAGATAGATGGCAATAAAAACTGTAACATAGAGGCTCAGAATAAATTAGAGGAAAAACTAAAAGAAATGGAAAAACTTATTCAAGAAAGATCAAGTGTAATATATTATAAAAATAAAGCAAACTGGATGGAATATGGGGAAAAATGCACAAAATTCTTTTTTAATCTTCAACATAGGAATGCTACCAAAAAGAACTTAATGAAACTGGTTACAATTGACGGAGTCACCCATAATTCACCAAATTATATTTTGAAGGAAGAAACAAAGTACTTTAAGCATATGTTTTCTTTTCAGTCGCCTCCATCTCCTCTAACTGAAGCTAATTGTAGAGATTTTTTTCCTATTGATAATGTCAAATTAACAGCCACACAGAAAGACTCATGTGAAGGTGAAATTACAGAAGAGGAACTTCTGGATGCAATTAAAGACTTTAAGTCCGGGAAAACTCCAGGGTTGGATGGCATACCAATCGAGGTATACCAAACCTTTTTTGATATACTAAGAGGACCGTTATTAGCATGTTTTAACCACTCCTATGTAAATGGTAGATTATCTGACACTCAAGAAGAAGGTCTGATCTCATTATTACTGAAACAGGATACAAGTGGAAAATATAAAGATCCAGTCCATTTACAAAATTGGAGGCCCCTTACACTTCAGTGTTGTGATGCAAAAATCCTAGCAAAATGTATAGCGCATAGAATTAAAAAGGTATTGTCGGATATTATTCATTCTAATCAGACAGGTTTTTTACATGGAAGATACATTGGAGATAATATAAGGCAAGTATTGGAAACAATAGAACACTATGGAAAATATGGGAAACCAGGCCTGCTATTCATAGCAGACTTCGAAAAGGCATTTGATAAAGTTCGACTGGGGTTTATATATAAATGCCTGGAGCATTTCAATTTTGGAGAATCTCTTATAAAATGGGTCAAAATCATGTATAGTAACCCTAGGTGTAAAATAGTAAATAATGGCTATTTCTCAGAAAGTTTTAAACTGTCAAGAGGAGTGAAACAAGGTTGTCCACTATCGGCATATCTATTTATTGTGGCCATTGAGATGTTAGCTATTAAAATCAGATCCAATAATAATATCAGAGGATTAGAAATACAGGGCTTAAAAACAAAGGTGTCATTGTACGCAGATGATTCATGTTTTCTTTTAGATCCACAACTAGAATCCCCCCACAGCCTCATAGAGGATCTAGATACATTTTCTAACCTCTCTGGATTAAAACCAAATTATGACAAATGTACTATATTACGTATTGGATCACTAAAAAATACAATTTTTACATTACCATGTAGTTTACCAATAAAATGGTCTGATGGTGATGTGGATATACTCGGAATACATATCCCAAAGGAAATAAATGATCTCACTTCAATAAATTTTAATAGAAAGTTAGCAAAAATAGATAAGATCTTACTACCATGGAAAGGAAAATACCTGTCAATTTGTGGAAAAATCACCCTGATTAACTCTTTAGTATTATCCCAGTTTACCTATTTACCTATTTGCTTATGGTCTTGCCTACGCCTAGCAAACAGTTTTTTTAATTATATGAGAAAAAAATATTCAATTTTATTTGGAACGGCAAGCCAGACAAAATTAAAAGAGCATATTTATATAATGAATATGAATTCGGAGGACAGAAATTTTTAAATATTAAAGCATTAGACCTATCACTAAAATCTTCAGTCATCCAAAAGTTATACTTAAATCCGAACTGGTTCTCAAGCAAATTAGTAAGATTGTCTCACCCACTGTTCAAGAAAGGCCTTTTTCCCTTTATTCAGATTACAACCTCTCACTTTCAGTTATTTGAAAAGGAAATAATCTCCCAAATGTCACTATTTCTAAAACAAGCAATAGAATCCTCCAGAAACGACAGACCAAATAATGCAACAAATATTGTGGTTAAATTCAAATATACTAATTGACAAAAAAACTTTATTTTTTGACAGAATGTTTAAAAAAGGTATAATCTTCGTAAATGATATCATCGGTAGGACTGGTGGAGTTATGTCGCACATGCAGCTAACAAAAACATATGGAAATGTCTGCTCTACCCAAAATTACAACCAAATAATTGCAGCCTTACCGCAAAAGTGGAAGAGGAAAGTTGAAGGGGGAGAAAGTAAGGAACTTGTCTGTCGGCCTTGCATTAAAGAACATAATTGGTTAAGGAAAACTGTGATAAATAAAAAAGTATATCAGTTTCACTTAAGGACCAAAGGATTGACAGCCGTCCCATATAGATTGCAAAATAGTTGGGAAGAGATCTTTGACGTACCGATCCCATGGCAAAGTGTTTATGAACTGACATGCAAAACGACACCGGATTCAAAAATTAGAATCTTTCAATTTAAATTATTATATAAAATTCTTGCTACCAATAGAATGTTATTTATATGGGGGATACAATCTTCCCAGCTCTGCAGATTTTGCTGTGAAGAGACAGAATCATTAGATCATTTGTTTTGGTTCTGTCCATTTGTAGCTTGTTTTTGGACACAGGTCCAGGAATGGCTAAAGGATTGCAATATTTACCTGGAACTAACCTTGCAGATAGCATTACTGGGTGATCTGAAAAGTCATAGTCAATCAATCAATAATATAATAATACTTTTAGCAAAAATGTTTATTTTTAATTCACAATCTGTAGAAGCAATGAGAATAGAAAGGTTCAGAACTTTTGTAAAACATCACAGTACGGTTGAAATATATATGGCAAATAGAAATCCTATATGGATGGTGTTAAGAGATAGATGGGAGGTATTGAATAGAGTTGAAGGATGGGACTAATAACAAATAACAACAAATAATAACAAAGATAGCTAATAATGTAAGCATACTGTGTCCATAATAAGTATATAGGTTGTATGTTGGGAGCTTTTGGGAAAGAGCACAGTTAGAAAGATATGGCATTTAGAAGCAAACCGGATGGACATCATGAAAATGATCGGAGAGGTTGAGAGTAGAAGAAGTTCAGGAGCAAAAAAAAAAAATAATAATATATATATATATATATATATATATATATATATATATATAATTATTGTAAAATTAACTCTTGTCTATAAGGTGTAGATAGTAAGTATAGACCGGAAGTAGAGGCCTGGGCGTTGTTGTTCACTAATTTACTCCAAGTAGGGAAAGGATGGTGGGGTTGAAAAGTAATAAAGGGGAATATATATATAAAAAATAAAAATAAACATGGGGGATTGGAAGTGATGCAGATAATTACATTGATAGAAGATACAATCTATCTGCAATATTAAGCTGATCCATCCCCCCCCCCCCCAAAAAATAAATAAAATAAAAAATAAAAAATCATGTATAATATAGGTGAGAGATAGTTCAAATGATAGGAATATCATTAAATGTATGCTTATCAACGATAGCAAGTATTTGTTTTATTAATTAGGGCCTAATCAGAGAGAACAGTTAAAGAAATTGAATAGCGAACTGAAATGGCGATAGAGCTGTGAAAATTGAGTTGAGGACAAAGGAGAAAAATGTATGGCTCTGGTTAGCGGAAAAATAAATAAATAGAGACAGTCCAGCGAGTTAGATTGAGCTGTAAGATTTCAAGTAGAGGTCTAAATACTTGACTGGAAGGCAGTGCTTTGATAAATTCTAATTGTTATTACTTTATTCGATAGGTTGCTTAACACCAGTGGTGTATGCAAATAGTTGGTGAATTCTAGAACGATAATTTATTTTCATTACGGGGACCAGGGGATGCAAGTAGCTTTAGCTATTATGCTGAGGGAATAGCACCAACCTATAGTGGGTTCTAGATTTGTTAAATAAACAAACTTATATTTTAAACTAAAGTAATGCAATAGGCTACAATTATAACATTATCAGAAAAAGGCACAATTTAATGTGAAATAGTTATTACAATTATTATTAATAGTTATTACAGTTATTATCATTGATCCAGTAATGATAGAAGGATAGTAGAGGAAAGGCAAGGGATTAAATCTCATTTAGGGAAAGAAGGAGTATGAAGATATATTAGGGAGAAAATACCATTAACTGAGGGATATATAAATAAAATAAAAATAAAACGTTTAGCTGAAAAAGACAACAGGAATAATTTACCTTACACCCTAATATAGACATCAGACCACACCAGAAGTAGAGATGGCAGGATCACCAGTAGCAATCATGAAGAGAAGGTTCCTTAAAATAGTGAAGATATTGGTAATATCTCTAACAAATGAGAAAAAGGACCAGAAAGATAGTAACTAAATGGCCAAAGGAGGGAACATTTGATGTAACCGTGATTATATTGGCTAAAACATGAAATATGACATTTACAGGGGGGACAGGAACAATAGAAGGGGAGACAGATTTTCCTAGGGGGTTGATCAAATAATTGATAATGGATCATTTGAGATGAGATCACATGTAGCAGATTTAGGGTAATCAATTAAATAATCATTGTATACTCGAGGAATTTTGAGTGGTTTTATGGATTAGTTATTAGGAATTAGATTGATACAAACAATTATTGATGGGTTAGGACTGGGGATATCTGTATCATGTTTTGTGTGTACTACCATCTTTAGATTACTGATGGTAATTGAAGGTTAACAAAATGTATAACCAGGAGAAAGAGATTATCTTATCTAATTGGAATGTTGCCCAGGGCTAGGGGGAGCAGTAGTGAAGTTAGGCAGTATTTAAAAATAAGGGATGGCAATTGGATGATCAATGACCAATATTACCTACAGTAAGTGATTGTTTAGGTAGGTGGTAATATTGACACATGGGCAAAACATGTGTCAAAAGGGGGATGGTAGGATTAAATAATAAATATATACGAAGGAGGGGACAAAATAGTTTTTAAAAAAAAGTCAGAAATAGAAATTGAGAGCTGAACACGTGTGAAGATAGTTTATTAACCACACCCGTATGTCAGAGGTTTTGTGCCCCACAGGTGAACTAAAGGAGAAGGTGACCCACTCTATCTAACCAGGTGACTGGTGAGCATCCAGTCCCTAAAGAAGAAAAACTGGAAGCAGGCCTGTTGGGAAGGGCCCTATCAGGTTATATTGGTCACTGCCTTTGCTATTAGAATAGCAGAAAGAGCAACCTGGGTCCACGTTACCCACTGCAAAAAGGTAAGAACACATGCAAGCACCACTGAACACATGCAGAGTTAGAGAGAAGAACTGGACCAATAGGGTTCTGGAGATCACCTCTGTTAACGAAGATCTCCTACCCCGACCTATCATCACTGTAGTGTGTTCTCAGGGTGTGAGTATGGGGTAGTACCAAGCAGAAAGACTCAGGACAGGAGAGGGTTGGCGGTTTTTGGGAATATGGATAACTTGAGTTGCATCAGTCTCGGTAATGGTCTTGATATGTCAAGATCCACCACCAATTGTGCTATGCCCTTACCATTGTTAAGAAGTAAAAGAGAAGAGAAGCGACCCGACATACTGACCATCAAGGACGAGTGGCCTACAAAATGGGAGTCAGAGAAGGGCAGACTGTCAGAATAAAAATAAGGGTTAGGAACGTAGCCAACGGGTGGGGTACATGTCAATAAGCAAATTGGGATTATAAAATCCTATTATATTCGTGTTCACGGCGGATTGTTCCTAGACTCAAGTGTTTAAATACACTTAGGGATGGGGATATGAGACCGAGGGGGACTAAACATCCAGATGGGGGGTAAAGAGAAACAAAGACATCACCAATTATCAATTGGAGATAGTAGTAATGTGACGGACTTAAGTTCGGAAGCACAGGAGAGAATTTTGAACCTTACAGCCCCTGTAACCGATGTGTGGTGGGCGTGTGCCAGTAAAGGAAGTGTAAGGCAGAGAATTCCAAAAGGGTGGCTAGATACATGCACCCTGGTTCTACTGGTTCAGCTAGTTAGAATTAGTCACCAGGAACCAAGGATTAAACAGATGTAGGATGAGTTTTAACAAGAAGGAGAATAGCCCTATTTAGATGGATGCGATTGGGATACCAAGGGGGGTATCGGATGGATACCGAGCTATGAAACAATTAGGGGAAGGGTTTACTACCACGTTCTTTTGGTGGGTGACAATAAACAAAATTGTGAATTGGATTAATTATATCTATTACGACCAACAACGATTTATTGGCTGGACTAGGGATGCAACAGAAGGGATCTTTGAACAATTATCCGCCATCTCACTCTTATGACTTAGTAAAAAGAGGTTGGCTCTAGATCAGGCAGAAAGGGGTGGTGTCTATAGAATGGTAAGCCATTGTTGTACGTTTATCCCTAACAATACTAGCCCTGACGGGAGCATCACTAAAGCCCTTTTTGGCCTGGATAAGTTATCTGCAGAGATGAAGAGCATGGCTGGAGTGGAGGGTGGTGGGCTGTTCTCCTGGTTGAACGACTGGTTTGGTAAGTACTCAACTATGGTGGTTACTGGATTTCTGACCCTAATCGTTGTGTTCTTGCTTCTGATGTGTTGTGCCGCTTTTATCATCCCTTGCCTCAGAAAGTCAGTCACAGATGTCGTGCATGCTGCTGGTATGATGCCTTTGCTGAAGGCTCAAGAAGGAGATGCAGATACTGAGTCTGGCTTTCGGAGGAAACTGGGGTTGACAGAAGATGACCCTTGGTTTGCTATTGGTGAGGTGGTAGAGTGACACCCTAGTGGGTGTCTAAAGGGGGAATCAAAATTCCCTGTTTGTGTTTTTATGTTTTATAAATCCATTTGAACTATTGTGAATGTTTGTCTTTCCTTATGTGAAGGTTTGAAGTTCCTTGGTGGCTGGTAGCCAACCTAGTACAAGTTAGGTGTAGATGGAAGGACTGAAGGCCTTTTTATTATCATTATTGCCTATTAATAAAAGTGTGATTATTTTTGTTTGTATTGTATTTTAATGAGTGACACCCTAGTGGGTGTCAAAAGGGGGAATCCTAAATTTCCCTGCGGGTGTGAAAAGGGGGATTGTGGGGATCTATTTTCTTACAATTAGATGTGATGCCTAGCTTAGAAAGAATACATTAATGATTAAACATAATAGGTTTGTGCTGTACTGATATAGATTGTTTAACATAACAAGCTGTGATTAATGTGAGGAACCGTTAGGGGGTAGGCTGAGACAGACTTGTGATTCACACAGACACACACACTGCCTCTTTGTTAAACCGCTCAAGGACAAAGTACTGCAACATGAAGAAGAAAACTATGTCTGAGGTTGCTGACTCGAGACAAGTTGTAAAGATAACAACTAATGCCCGGCAACAGTGAAGCGCCAAGGGACTGGGACCAGCCTGTGCACCATCGATAGGTTGGGTAAGTTTAAACCACACCCAGCCTCTACACTGACAGGCCCAGCAGGGAGCGGGAACTCTCTCTGTCAGAGTATTTAAAGAAGAACTTATAACAAAAGCTCAGTTCTCTGACTGCCCTGCGTGGTTTTTCAGTGGGCCCGAATATACGAACCTCATATTTACCATTCAAGTGTTTGCATTAATTAAAATACAAGTCTATTTTAGAAGACGTGTATTGACCTCTTTTTGTTCCTATACCAGATTTGAATTGATGCAACTTAACAGTAATAACCTAACCATTACGAAACTTCTATTCGATCAAATAAGCCTCACGTAGCAAATTAGCAATTACATTTTTTGTTGACCAAATTCGTGGACAGATTTTGGGCAGAGTAAACCCTCGCTTCGCCTCTTCTTCTCTGCTGTGTGCCTGTGGAACTTTATTGCCCATGTGGGAAATATGAAGTGCTGCTTGTAGCGAACTGTTACAGAAAATTCAGTGAAGTGAGTATGATTTACAGTAATTGTCAGTCTATAAATGAGCTGTTTCGGTGAAGTATTTTACTAAGCGAGATTCCATTGGATATGGTATGATATTTATTAGCAAATTTAGCTAGCTAGCCATGTTATCAAACATCTTCACTAGCTAGCTTGCTGATTTTGTAACTGTAAAGCTAGTTAGGCTGCTAGCCTGAAACGCATAGTTGATGTGAACCAGCAATACAGCTGGCTAGTTTTATTTACATTTACGTCATTTAGCAGATGCTCTTATCCAGAGCGACTTACAAATTGGATACTAGGGAAAATTGTTTGTTGATTGGATTCAGTGTTTTTTTTGTTTTTTTTTACTAGATATGTGCAATATCTAACTACATACTCTGTTAATTCACTTAACATCCTCACCTTTTCTGATATTCTCCCCCTTTTCAGATACAGTAACTACATCCATTATTCTCAGAATGGCAAGTGAGCAGGAGGTGGCAGCAGTGGGCAAGATTCTGGTCAACCCAAAGCAGGACCTGACAAAACGATTCAGAGCACTCTTCACCCTGCGTAACCTGGGTGGACCATAGGCCATCGAATGGATCAGTCAGACTTTTGTGGTAGACTCTGCTCTGTTGGAACATGTGCTGGCATATTGCCTGGGCCAAATGCAGGATGAGAGAGCCATCCCCACGCTAGATACTGTTCTAAAAGACACAGCACAGGAGCCTATGGTCAGGCATGAAGCAGGTCAGTATGCAGGCTCATGAGTCCACTCTCATTCATATACATACTGTATTGATAAACATATTCACAGATAATTAATGTAATAGTGCTTATCTAAACGGTTAACTGTTGTAATGTTTTATTTATTTAGGGGAAGCATTAGGAGCTATTGGGAACCTCAAGGTCCTTGACTTACTGAAAGAGTACTCGGAGGACCCAGTCATCGAGGTAAAACGAGGCATATTGGATAGAAATATAAGTAGCAAAGAGATTATGTGAAAATCAAACATCACACAGCACTTTCATTTACATATAGTCATATTCCAACCCGAGTTAAGCATGCGTAAGTGGAACATAATGCTCTTTTTATGCACTTTTCTCTCTGCATATTCTGACCTTGAACTTAAACCTGAGAATATTATGCTATTCACCAGCTATTCGTTTGGGGTGGTGATTGAGTAAATGAAGGTGTGGCGGAGGTGTCTACAGATATGCCGTATTCTGACCTTGACTTAATTACACCACCTTGCCCAAGGAAACCATGAATAAGGTCTAGTGACCTACTGGTTCCAAGTGGAACACCATTCTCCATGCACTGTAATTTACAACTTGATTATAGCAAGGTAAATGAGTAATCCGTTTGGATAAGGCAATTGTAAATATAAATGACACTTGTTTTACAGTGCATTCGGAAAGTATTCAGACCCCTTGACTTTTTACACATTTTATGTTATAGCTTGTAACGCCAAGGTAGTGGGTTCGATCCCCGGGACCACCCATACACAAAAAATGTATGCACGCATGACTGTAAGTCGCTTTGGATAAAAGCGTCTGCTAAATGGCATATTGTTATTATTATTATTATTCTAAAATTGATTAAATAAAAATCTTCAAACTACACACAATACCCCATAATGACAAAGCAAAAACAGGTTTTTAGAAATGTGTAGCTCAGTTGGTAGAGCATGGCGTTTGCAACGCCAGGGTTGTGGGTTCGATTCCCACGGGGGGCCAATATGAAAAAAATTAAAGTATGTACTCACTAACTGTAAGTCGCTCTGGATAAGAGCGTCTGCTATATGACTAAAATGTAATTTTTAAAATATAAAATAAAAAACATAAATACGTTATTTACATAAGTATTCAGACCCTTTGCTATAAGACTCAATATTGAGCTCCGGTGCATCCTGTTTCCATTAATCATCCTTGAGATGTTTCTAGAACTTGATTGGAGTCCACCTGTGGTAAATTCAATTGATTGGACATGATTTCGAAAGGCACACACCTGTCTATATAAGGTCCCACAGTTGACAGTGCATGTCAAAGCAAAAACAAAGCCATGAGGTCGAAGGAATTGTCCGTAGAGCTCAGAGACAGGATTGCGTCGAGGCACAGATCTGGGGAAGGCTACCAAAATGTTCTGCAGCATTGAAGGTCCCCAATAACACAGTGGCCTCCATCATTCTTAAATGGAAGAAGTTTGGAACCACCAATACTTTTCCTAGAGCAGGCCGCCCGGCCAAACTGAGCAATCGGGGGAGAAGGGCCTTGGTCAGGGAGGAGACTAAGAACCTGATGGTCACTCTGACAGAGCTCCAGAGTTCCTCTGTGGAGATGGGAGGGCCTTCCAGAAGGACAACCATCTCTGCAGCACTCCACCAATTAGGCCTTTATGGTAGAGTGGCCAGACGGAAGCCACTCAGTAAAAGGCACATGACAGCCCGCTTGGAGTTTGCCAAAAGGCACCTAAAGGACTCTCAGACCACGAGAAACAAGATTCTCTGGTCTGATGAAACCAAAATGTAACTCTTTGGCCAAGCATCACGTCTGGAGGAAACCTGCCACCATCCGTATGGTGAAGCATGGTGGTGGCAGCATCAGAATAGTCAGGATCGAGGGAAAGATGAACGGAGCAAAGTGCAGAGAGATCCTTGATGAAAACCTGCTCCAGAGCTCTCAGGACATCAGACTGGGGCGAAGGTTCACTTTCCAACAGGACAACGACCCTAAGCACACAGCCAAGACGACACAGGAGTGGATTCGGGACAAGTCTCTGAATGTCCTTGAGTGGCCCAGCCAGAGCCCGGACTTGAAAATAGCTGTGCAGTGACGCTCCCCATCCAACCTGACAGAGCTTGAGAGGATCTGCAGAGAAGAATGGGAGAAACTCCCCAAATACAGGTGTGCGAAGCTTGTAGCGTAATAACCAGAAGACTCAAGGCTGTAATCCATTTTAGAATAAGGCTGTAACGTAACAAAATGTGGAAAAAGTCAAGGGGTCTGAATACTTTCCGATTGCACTGTACAGTAATATTTCTGTAAAACAAACCAAATCTCACTTTTCTTGTTACCTCAGGGTCATTCTTGGGGGACACTTTGAAATGATGCACACTGTCATCGAAGCACTTGAGGGTGAAAAAGCAGTGGTCTCTGGCTTTGATCTGAAAAAGAAAATAGTAAAACACAATGTCATATTCTACCCTAATATTCCAGTAAATGCTGTCACCATGTTAAATCTGATGAGAGAACAAACAATCATGGCCTACCAAACAGTGGGCTTGGGTCAGGGGCTTACAGCCTTGTCTTCGGACATTGGCAGCTGCATCCAACCTTAGGAGGCAGAGAGTGGTCCTCTGTAGCTCAGCTGGTAGAGCACGGCGCTTGTAACGCTAAGGTAGTGGGTTCGATCCCCGGGACCACCCATACACAAAAATGTATGCACGCACGACTGTAAGTCGCTTTGGATAAAAGCGTCTGCTAAATGGCATATTATTATTATTATTATATTATTATTATTATAGAGAGACAATAGGTGTAAGAATCTAGAATGGGCAAGGGTGTCCTTTAGCAGTTGAATCTAACTTAAGATTCACATCATAGAACTTCAGGAAGAGGTTAAAATGACCAAGCTTGTGTCTAAGGAAGAAGAGAGAGCACCTACTGTTTAGAGTACCAGGACAGTACTCGCTTCCGCATTGTCTCCGTGCTGCTGTGCTGTTTGTTGCTACTTGGCTACCTGCCAAACTATTCACGTTTTACTTTTAATAAACGTTTAATCAATCTCTGTGTTCAACAAATTTACCAACTTTTTAGTTTTGTCCTCACTCATCTTTTTTCGTTAAACTTTTCACCCCGGACGTTTTATCCCGAGACAGAAGAGTCATTTTCCTGTGCGTTTTTGCTGCCAACTTTACTTTATTTTCCTTTTTTCCATCGCAACTTTTTTCCCTCATTCAACTTTTTCACTCCGGACGCTTTATCTGGACATGGTTCGTCAACATCTTCAACAGCCGAAGCTAAGTAGTAACATTAACATGATGTCTTCTAATTGCAGTCGCTGTACTCATAATATACAGGAGAACGATCGCCTTACGGCGAGAATAGCTGTGCTACAAGCCCAGCTTCAGACGCAATCGTTAGGCAGGGGTAATTTCAGTGTAGGAAAGGAAGAAACAGCGTCTGTGCCACCAGTAAGTACAGATAGTAACGTTAGTATAAATCCCCCCGCACAGTCCCCGCAGCCGGACAACTTTCTCATGGCTTCTGGAGGGAAATACTGTTGGAATGCTCAACCGGTGTCGCTCATTCAGCCGACAGAAACTTTCAACCGGTTTTCCCCATTATGTAGCGAGTCGGAGTCTGAGTCTGAGTCTTCTCTTGTCTCTACTCCTCCCGTTACGGGGTCTGAGACGCCGAAGGCTCCCACCATTAGCTCTGACAAATTGAAAACCCTAGTCATTGGCGACTCCATTACCCGCAGTATTAGACTTAAAACGAATCACCCAGCGATCATACACTGTTTACCAGGGGGCAGGGCTACCGACGTTAAGGCTAATCTAAAGATGGTGCTGGCTAAAGCTAAAACTGGCGAGTGTAGAGAGTATAGAGATATTGTTATCCACGTCGGCACCAACGATGTTAGGATGAAACAGTCAGAGGTCACCAAGTGCAACATAGCTTCAGCGTGTAAATCAGCTAGAAAGATGTGTCGGCATCGAGTAATTGTCTCTGGCCCCCTCCCAGTTAGGGGGAGTGACGAGCTCTACAGCAGAGTCTCAGCACTCAATCGCTGGTTGAAAACTGTTTTCTGCCCCTCCCAAAAGATAGAATTTGTAGATAATTGGCCCTCTTTCTGGGACTCACCCACAAACAGGACCAAGCCTGACCTGCTGAGGAGTGACGGACTCCATCCTAGCTGGAGGGGTGCTCTCATCTTATCTACCAACATAGATAGGGCTCTAACTCCTCTAGCCCCACAGTGAAATAGGGTGCAGGCAAAGGCAGCAGGCTGTTAGCCAACCTGCCAGCTTAGTGGAGTCTGCCAATAGCACAGTCAGTGTAGTCAGCTCAGCCATACCCATTGAGACTGTGTCTGTGCCTCGACCTAGGTTGGGCAAAACTAAACATGGCGGTGTTCGCCCTAGCAATCTTATTAGGATAAAGACCTCCTCCATTCCTGCCATTATTGAAAGAGATCGTGATACCTCACATCTCAAAATAGGGTTACTTAATGTTAGATCCCTCACTTCAAAGGCAGTCATAGTCAATGAACTAATCACTGATCATAATCTTGATGTGATTGGCCTGACTGAAACATGGCTTAAGCCTGATGAATTTGCTGTGTTAAATGAGGCCTCACCTCCTGGTTACACTAGTGACCATATTCCCCGTGCATCCCGCAAAGGCGGAGGTGTTGCTAACATTTACGATAGCAAATTTCAATTTACAAAAAAAAAAATGGCGTTTTCGTCTTTTGAGCTTCTAGTCATGAAATCTATGCAGCCTACTCAATCACTTTTTATAGCTACTGTTTACAGGCCTCCTGGGCCATATACAGCGTTCCTCTCTGAGTTTCCTGAATTCCTATCAGACCTTGTAGTCATAGCAGATCATATTCAAATTTTTGGTGATTTTAATATTCACATGGAGAAGTCCACAGACCCACTCCAAAAGTCTTTCGGAGCCATCATCGACTCAGTGGGTTTTGTCCAACATGTCTCTGGACCTACTCACTGCCACAGTCATACTCTGGACCTAGTTTTGTCCCATGGAATAAATGTTGTAGATCTTAATGTTTTTCCACAAAATCCTGGACTATCGGACCACCATTTTATTACGTTTGCAATCGCAACAAATAATCTGCTCAGACCCCAACCAAGGAGCATCAAAAGTCGTGCTATAAATTCTCAGACAACACAAAAATTCCTTGATGCCCTTCCAGACTCCTTCTGCCTACCCAAGGACGTCAGAGGACAAAAATCAGTTAACCACTTAACTGAGGAACTCAATTTAACCTTGCGCAATACCCTAGATGCAGTTGCACCCCTAAAAACGAAAAACATTTGTCATAAGAAACTAGCTCCCTGGTATACAGAAAATACCCGAGCTTTGAAGCAAGCTTCCAGGAAATTGGAACGGAAATGGCGCCACACCAAACTGGAAGTCTTCCGACTAGCTTGGAAAGACAGTACCGTGCAGTACCGAAGAGCCCTCACTGCTGCTCGATCATCCTACTTTTCCAACTTAATCGAGGAAAATAAGAACAATCCAAAATTTATTTTTGATACTGTTGCAAAGCTAACTAAAAAGCAGCATTCCCCAAGAGAGGATGGCTTTCACTTCAGCAGTAATAAATTCATGAACTTCTTTGAGGAAAAGATCATGACCATTAGAAAGCAAATTACGGACTCCTCTTTGAATCTGCGTATTCCTCCAGGGCTTAGCTGTCCTGGATCTGCACAGCTCTGCGAGGGCCTGGGATCGGGAGAGACACTTAAGTGTTTTAGTACTATATCTCTTGACACAATGATGAAAATAATCATGGCCTCTAAACCTTCAAGCTGCATACTGGATCCTATTCCTACTAAACTGCTGAAGGAGCTGCTTCCTGTGCTTGGCCCTCCTATGTTGAACATAATAAACAGCTCTCTATCCACCGGATGTGTACCAAACTCACTAAAAGTGGCAGTGATAAAGCCTCTCTTGAAAAAGCCAAACCTTGACCCGGAAAATATAAAAAACTATCGGCCTATATCGAATCTTCCATTCCTCTCAAAAATTTTAGAAAAAGCTGTTGCGCAGCAACTCACTGCCTTTCTGAAGACAAACAATGTATACGAAATGCTTCAGTCTGGTTTTAGACCCCATCATAGCACTGAGACTGCACTTGTGAAGGTGGTAAATGACCTTTTAATGGCGTCAGACCGAGGCTCTGCATCTGTCCTCGTGCTACTAGACCTTAGTGCTGCCTTTGACACCATCGATCACCACATTCTTTTGGAGAGACTGGAAACCCAAATTGGTCTACACGGACAAGTTCTGGCCTGGTTTAGATCTTACCTGTCGGAAAGATATCAGTTTGTCTCTGTGAATGGTCTGTCCTCCGACAAATCAACTGTACATTTCGGTGTTCCTCAAGGTTCCGTTTTAGGACCACTATTGTTTTCACTATATATTTTACCTCTTGGGGATGTTATTCGAAAACATAATGTTAACTTTCACTGCTATGCGGATGACACACAGCTGTACATTTCAATGAAACATGGTGAAGCCCCAAAATTGCCCTCGCTAGAAGCCTGTGTTTCAGACATAAGGAAGTGGATGGCTGAAAACTTTCTACTTTTAAACTCGGACAAAACAGAGATGCTTGTTCTAGGTCCCAAGAAACAAAGAGATCTTCTGTTAAATCTGACAATTCATCTTGATGGTTGTAAAGTCGTCTCAAATAAAACTGTGAAGGACCTCGGCGTTACTCTTGACCCTGATCTCTCTTTTGACGAACATATCAAGACTGTTTCAAGGACAGCTTTTTTCCATCTACGTAACATTGCAAAAATCAGAAATTTTCTGTCCAAAAATGATGCAGAAAAATTAATCCATGCATTTGTTACTTCTAGGTTAGACTACTGCAATGCTCTACTTTCCGGCTACCCGGATAAAGCACTAAATAAACTTCAGTTAGTGCTAAATACGGCTGCTAGAATCCTGACTAGAACCAAGAAATTTGATCATATTACTCCAGTGCTAGCTTCCCTACACTGGCTTCCTGTTAAGGCAAGGGCTGATTTCAAGGTTTTACTGTTAACCTATAAAGCGTTACATGGGCTTGCTCCTACCTATCTTTCCGAGTTGGTCCTGCCGTACATACCAATACGTACGCTACGGTCACAAGACGCAGGCCTCCTAATTGTCCCTAGAATTTCTAAGCAAACAGCGGGAGGCAGGGCTTTCTCCTATAGATCTCCATTTTTATGGAACAGTCTGCCTACCCATGTGAGAGACGCAGACTCGGTCTCAACCTTTAAGTCTTTACTGAAGACTTATCTCTTCAGTAGGTCATATGATTGAGTGTAGTCTGGCCCAGGAGTGTGAAGGTGAACGGAAAGGCTCTGGAGCAACGAACAGCCCTTGCTGTCTCTGCCAGGCCGGTTCCCCTCTCTCCACTGGGGTTCTCTGCCTCTAACCCTGTTACAGGGGCTGAGTCACTGGCTTGCTGGTGCTCTTTCATGCCGTCCCTAGGAGGGGTGCGTCACTTGAGTGGGTTGAGTTACTGACGTGATCTTCCTGTCTGGGTTGGCGCCCCCCCTTGGTTTGTGCTGTGGTAGAGACCTCTGTGGGCTATACTCGGCCTTGTCTCAGGATTGTAAGTTGGTGGTTGAGGATATCCCTCTAGTGGTGCGGGGGCTGTGCTTTGGCAGAGTGGGTGGGGTTATATCCTTCCTGTTTGGCCCTGTCCGGGGGTTTCTTCGGATGGGGCCACAGTGTCTCCGGACCGCTCCTGTCTCAGCCTCCAGTATTTATGCTGCAGTAGTTTATGTGTCGGGGGGCTGGGGTTAGTTGGTTATACCTGGAGTACTTCTCCTGTCTTATCCAGTGTCCTGTGTGAATTTAAGTATGCTCTCTCTAATTCTCTCGTTCTCTCTTTCTCTCTGAGAACCTGAGCCCTAGGACCATACGTCAGGACTACCGGGCATGCTGACACCTTGCTGTCCCCAGTCCGCCTGGCCTTGCTGCTATTCCAGTTTCAACTGTTCTGCCTGCGGTTACGAAACCCCTACCTGTCCCAGACCTGCTGTTTTCAACTCTTAATGATCGGCTATGAAAAGCCAACTGAGAGACCTGAGCCCTAGGACCATACGTCGGGACTACCGGCCGTGGTGACTCCTTGCTGTCCCCAGTCCGCCTGGCCTTGCTGCTATTCCAGTTTCAACTGTTCTGCCTGCGGTTATGGAACCCCTACCTGTCCCAGACCTGCTGTTTTCAACTCTTAATGATCGGCTATGAAAAGCCAACTGAGATTTATTCCTGATTATTATTTGACCATGCTTGTCACTTATGAACATTTTTGAACATCTTGGCATGGTTCTGTTATAATCTCCACCCGGCACAGCCAGAAGAGGACTGGCCACCCCTCATAGCCTGGTTCCTCTCTAGGTTTCTTCCTAGGTTTTGGCCTTTCTAGGGAGTTTTTCCTAGCCACCGTGCTTCTACACCTGCATTACTAGCTGTTTGGGGTTTTAGGCTGGGTTTCTGTACAGCACTTCGAGATATTAGCTGATGTACGAAGGGCTATATAAAATAAAATTGATTGATTGATTGACAGAACCCCATCTTGGAGGACCACCCAGTAGGAACGCCAGCCTAAAAACCGGGAACTCTGACAGAAGGTTCAGGACAGGAAGAGTTTGTGTTTATACGTCATCAGTCACATACATGAAAATGTTATTAAGTGATAATAAGCTTTTCACTGTTGACAACAAGAGTGGAAATAGTGGAATCATCTGCAAACGACTGTACCATCCAAAGGGCTCCTTCAAACATCTGAACATGGTGAGTCATACCCTTTGAGACACAGTTTAGAGACAGCAACCATTACAAATGTTTTCTCCAACAATATAATGTGCGGTCAAGTAAGACTTATAATTTTCTTACATAACAAATCACTTTAGCACTCACTTTATGAACATTGCCTTCCAGGATCTGCTTTATCTCTGTTGTTGGCGAGGTCAAACACAGTCTGACTGAGCCCATCTTTACCCTTCTTTAGCAGTTTCAGGGCACATAGCTTCTGACCACGGTAGGCAGCACAGTGCAGTGGGGTGTTACCCAAGAGATCACAGCAGTTCATGTCTGGAGGCTTTTTGTAACAAACATTTTTACAAACACTGATTCAGGTGCTTCTTTTTGGCCAACATAAAATAAGTTAAACTATTCTGAATATGTTGTGGACATTACACATTTTATTAATATGTTGTGGACATTCACTGACCTTCCAGCATGCTTTTGATCTCCCCATTCTGAGTGACATCTTTAGGAATCTGTGCTGTTCCATTGATGACAGTGGCACATGCATCATAGCTTAGCAGCAACATGACAACCTCCTGAACAATGCATGATTTAGTGAATTAATAAATGCATGCAGGAACACTCAACAATCAATATCAAAGTCAAACATGCATATAAAATTAAGAATAAACTCAAATAAAACAGATGTATTTTTTAAAATATTGTTTTTACAGTTTGGTACCTTTCTTCCGGTGAAGGCAGCTTTGTGCAGTGGTGTGTCTCCCACATTATTGGGCAAATTAACATCCGCTCCGGCCTGCAGGGAATATTCAACAGACACGCATTAATTCTGCAAAAAAAATTGTTTAAACAATCATCCATCTCCTTATTAAAAATAAAGATGCTTCTTACAGTACCTTGAGTAATTCCTCCACCACAGCTCTGTGTCCAAAGTAACAGGCCAGGTGAAGAGGCGTCCATCCCAGGTTAGACTTACTCTTACCTGAGGACAGATTAGACACACTCACATTTCTGCCAAGCATTCCTATGTGTAGATAGAGAACAGTAACTGCAACCATCCTGCAGGATTATGCCCCTGGGCTTAAAGTTAGCTAAACAATTTTTCTAGACCAACAATCAAAATAGATTAGACACACTCAAATTCCTCAATACTGTAGTATACTAATGAAGAGCTTTGCTCATTCAAATAACTGACCAGCAGCAAGCAACTACTTACCTTTGCTTTTGATGTTGGCTTCTTCTTTAATCTTGGACATGAGAAGCTTCTGGATGCCTGGAAGATCCCCATTCCTGGCATGACGCAGAAACTGGGCCTCTGGATCCAGATCCTCCATAGATAACTGAACAGATAGATAACTGAACAAGAAGTACAGAAAGAAGATCACAGCACTGAAAGACTGTCAGATTTAGGCTACTACTCCTAATACTGATATAAATTGCACATTCAACAAAACTGAAAATCAGATCTAGGTGGTCAAATGTAGAGATGATACAACAGTGCTCGAGGAAAATTCATTGTCTAGGCTGTTCCAGCAACCAGAGAGCAGCACCATACATACAGTATTCACATTGTGACTCTCAAGAAGCAAATAAACTTTGCTTTAAATCGTGGACTAAAATTAGCCTAGTTCGTCACTTGGATTGCAGTAGTAAAGCAAGATTAAAGGGTCTGAATACATTCCGAATGCACTGTATATGCATATTCGTTTGTTTCAACACCAATTGGTAGATTCAAAAATATTCTGGTCTTGTAGATAATTTAGGGTTAATACAGTATTTATTAAATCATAAAAAATGAAAATAAAGGTTTGGAGACCCTGTACGCACAAAATATATTGATGATTAAAAAATAAAATTGTTTGATTCATCCAGAAAGTTGCCATATTCAGTTCTTGAACCCATGGTAATGTTGGAAGATTAGTGTACATAGAATTATAATATGGAGAATAGTGTACAATAGTAGGCTATACCCTCGTCTATTGCCTGAATTAACAGTTTGGTTAAAACTGTTACGGCTTGGTTTGCGCTCCATAACAATTTAGTCAGCCTACTGTTAATAATGATCCTCAACTACATGGCCGTGACAGTGTTTACAGAGGCTCAAATTAAGTTAAATTAAACAATGTAATTAAATGGAATGATAATGTAGGCTGTACCAACTGAAGGGAACTAACAGTAAACTGACGGTCGATACTGATAGTGGCTAATATTTAATATGATAGAAATAGGAAACAGAGAATGTTGGAGTAGCCTATAATTAAGACATTCGAGAGTGCCCATCCTTTACTGTGGGAAACGTGAGATGTTGATATGCTTCAGTTTGCTGCCATATGACTGGTTTCATTTTTGTCTCCAGCTATTATGAAGGTAAAATAGATATATAGTGCATTCGGAAAGTATTCAGACCCCTTGACTTTTTCCACATTGTTACGTTACAGCCTTATTCTAAAATGGATGAAATACCCCCCCCCACCCCCCCCCCCCCCATCAATCTACACACAATACCCCATAATGACAAAGCAAAAAACTGGCTTTAGAAATTTTGTAATACATTAGCAAAAATGTATAACCTGTTTTTGCTTTGTCATTATAGGGTATTGTGTGTAGATTGATGAGGGGAAAACATTATTTAATCCATTTTAGAATAAGGCTGTACATAACAAAGTGGAAAAAGGGAAGGGGTCTGAATACTTTCTGAATGCACTGTATTTACACTGAACAAAAATATAAACGCAACATGCAACAATTTCAAAGATTTTACTGAGTTACAGTTCATATAAGGAAATCAGTCAACTTAAATAAGTTAATTAGGCCCTAATCTATGGATTTCACACGACTGGGAATACAGATATGCATTCGTTGGTCACAGATTTGTGTGGATCAGAAAACCAGTCAGTATCTGGTGTGACCACCATTTGCATCATGCAGCGCGACACATCTCCTTCGCATAGAGTTGATCAGGCTGTTGATTGTGGCCTGTGGAATGTTGTCCCACTCCTCTTCAATGGCTGTGCTAAGTTGCTGGATATTGGCGGGAACTGGAACACGCTGTCGTACACGTCGATCCAGAGCATCCCAAACATGCTCAATGGGTGACATGTCTGGTGAGTATGCAGGCCATGGAAGAACTGGGACATTTTCAGCTTCCAGGAATTGTGTACATATCCTTGCAACATGGGGCCGTCCATTATCATGAAACATGAGGTGATGGCGGCAGATTAATGGCATGACAATGGGCCTCAGGATCTCGTCACGGTATCTCTATACATTCAAATTGCCATCGATAAAATGCAATTGTGTTCGTTGTCCGTAGTTTATGCCTGCCCATACCATAACCCCACCGCACTCTGTTCACAACTTTGACATCAGCAAACTGCTCGCCCACACGACGCCATGCACGCTGTCTGCCATCACCCCGGTACAGTTGAAACCGAGATTCATCTGTGAAGAGCACACTTCTCCAGCGTGCCAGTGGCCATCGACGGTGAGCAGGGCCTAAAATTAACTTTTTGGTCCACCAGCCACTGTGGCAGATACAGTAGATGAAAACATCTACCAGCCAAAATATGTTTTTGCCATAATGACATAAAAAAATGAATGATTACCATGCTTTGTAATGTTTCTAAAACAAGAAATGTATTAGTAAGAAGTAAAGTGGTATATTGCTCAATTTCAGCTAGCCCTTTAAGGGGGGGAGGTTACCGTGGTAACGGGGCCACTCGAGTCCTGTCGTGTGAGAGAGAGATTTGGGATCTGACTAGGGCATCTCTTCGCTATTAGTAGAAGCAGCAGACTCAAACGAATGTTGAAAAACAATCAAGCTTGTGAACAATACCATGTAAATGGCCAAGAAACACGAGGTCTAACTTTGTAGAATTTCAAGTGAATTAGACTTACTTTTATGCCAAAAATGAATCTATCAGCACTTCACTCAGTGAGCTCAGCTCCCCTGCCAGGCAGTGTTGCTGCGCAAGGTGAGATATAGGATTAGTATTTATTTGTGCAATTAGCAGCTATGAAACAAAACAGCAGGAATACTTTAAAAACAGCTACTGCAGCATTTTTCTAACTAACTCGTACGTGTGCTTATACTTGACTTTTTGCTATTTTTATTCACAAATGTAATGCTCCCACTGTAGAGTATTGCAAATTGACTACCCGCCAATGTGGCTGGTAAAATAGACATTCTTACCCGCCAATACCTACATTTACCTGGTGGCAGGTGTTAATTTTATGCCCTGAAGGTGAGCATTTGCCCACTGAAGTCGGTTAAGACGCCAAACTGCATTCAGGTCAAGACCCTGGTGAGGACGACGAGCATGCAGATGAGCTTCCCTGAGACGATTTCTGACAGTTTGTGCAGAAATTCATCAGTTGTGCAAACCCACAGTTTAATCAGCTGTCTGGGTGGCTGGTCTCAGAAGATCCCGCAGGTGAAGAAGCCTCATGTGGAGGTCCTGGGCTGGCATGGTTACACATGGTCTGCGGTTGTGAGGCCGGTTGCACGTACTGCCAAATGCGCTTATGGTAGAGAAATGAACATTCAGTTCTCTGGCAACAGCTCTGGTGGACAATTCCTGCAGTCAGCATGCCAATTGCATGCTCCCTCAACTTGACCTCTGTGGCATTGTGTTGTGTGACAAAACTGCACATTTTAGTGGCCTTTTATTGTCCCCAGCACAAGATGCACATGTGTAATGATCATGCTGTTAAATCAGCTTCTTGATATGCCACACCTGTCAGGTGAATGGGTTATTTTAGCAAAGGATAAATGATCACTAACAGGGACATAAACAAATTTGTGCGCAAAATGAGAGATACGCCTTTTGTACATATGGAACATTTCTGGGATCTTTTATTTCAGCTCATGGGTCCAACACTTTACATGTTGCGTTTTATATTTGATACCTAATATTCTGAACCTGTTCTCAATATATTCTACAAAATTATAACTAAAAGGAATGGCTTAAGATGAATGTACTGAAAACCCTATTGAATGAACTCCAAGATTAAATCTGTTGTCCAGCAAGTGGGAGGGTTTTCAGCAGTTGAATTACATTTATTCAGAGCGCGCAAGGTAGCCACACCTGCAGAGAGCGTTACGCGACTGAATAAGGTAAGTCTGAATACCAAATACTGAAGTGTGTAGGAAAGGCATGATTAGGAAAAGTGTTACATTTCCTAAGTCTGAATCGGCCCCTTGGACGAGTACAGTGCCTGTATGATGGTCATGACAGTACTCTCTTCTCCTCTAGGTGGCAGAGACGTGCCAGTTGGCTGTCAGGCGGCTGGAGTGGCTGATTTCTGGTGGGGACCAGAAAGGAGAGGAGGGCACCGATGGAACCTCTACTGTTCTGTGGACCCTGCTCCCCCAGCCCAGAGGAAGACTGTACCTGAGCTGAGGACACAGCTCCTGGATGAGCGCCTGCAGCTGTTTGAGTGCTACAGGGCCATGTTTGCCCTACGCAACCTGGGCAACAAGGAGGCTGTCCTGGCTCTAGGAGATGGTGAGAGAGACTGGCAGTCATTCTTAAACTATGCTGTCTATGGCAAATGTCAATAAAGGAGTGAATTAGTAGCATTCAGAAGGGCTTATTTTGGGCAAAATGTGCAGCCACATAATTCGTATTCACATAAGCTAATTTTCTTGTCCTGAATTATTACATAACCCTCCACTATCAGCGTCTCTGAAAACACCCACTCACTCAACCCTTTGTAATCCTTCACAGGTCTTCAGTGTAGCAGTGCCTTGTTCCGCCATGAGATCGGGTACGTCCTGGGTCAGATCCAGCACCCAGCCATCATCCCCCAGCTGCAGGCAGCTCTGGAGCTGGAAGGGGAGAACGCCATGGTGAGGCACGAGTGTGCCGAGGCCATGGGCGCCATAGGCAAGGAGGAGTGTATGAAGATCCTGGAGCGTTACAGGAAAGACGCAGAGCGCGGGGTAAAGGAGAGCTGTGAAGTAGCCCTGGACATGCTGGAGGATGAGAACGGCACACGGTTCCAGTACGCTGACGGACGACCACGACTGCAGGGGCCAAACAGCAAGCATGGACATTGGACGCTATAGGAGAACTGCTATACAGCGCTATAAGAGCTTTTCACAGATGTCATAACTCATGATGACTTATACACATTTTCACTAATTGAAACTATCTTGACTCTTGCCTGTGATAATTGGCCTCTGAGACAAGGCAGTGTAATAATTATATTACAGTACATTTTGAGCCATGTTTTGGTTTGTTTATTCATTGTTTTCATGGAAGCTACATGAATAATATTGTCAAGATAATTGAATACCTTTCCCCCAAAACTCAGTGAACCGTTCACATTTATCTTTAATTCAGAATGATCTGATAAGCATCTGAAATCAGATTGTTAATCCACTTTTCTGCTCTGTCATATCATTGATTTTTATCTCGAATTAAAATAAAGGTAATAACATTGTTGTATTGTCTCAATGGTGTCGCTTAACACGATCATGACAATAGCGTGCCTGTGTTCTATCCCAATCAGAGGTTTTGCATCATGATGGCTAATCCACACAGTCACTCAGACACATTGCTATCCTCTGGGCTTTGACAAAGATTACAAATGGGATGAAAACATTGTAACTCAACAGTACAAACACCCTGATCAGGGGGAAAGCGTTTGTAAGTGTGATGTACAGTATGTGTGCATCTTGAGTTGTGACCTCTGCAGAGAGTGGGGAAAGAAAGGCAGCTGTCAGTTCTGTGGAGGGATAGAGAATAACCAGCATTCTGAGAGGGAGGGCAACAGCTATAGTAAAACAGGGATAAATGACACACTCCTGATCACTAAACCTAGCTAAACAGTGCCCAGCCTTCCCTCAACCTACCAACACCTCAGTCACCATGATGCACCCCATCATGATCGGCATCGTTGTTGTCATCACCGTCATCTACTGGATCTTCATCCTCACAGAGGCCTTCCATAGGAAGATAGAGGAAGAGACCCTGCTTAAATTACTGACCTTACAGAGTTGTCCTGCTCAGAGAAGATAGATTTGAGTGTTTCCTGTTTTGTCTGGGGGAAATGCTCAGTCCTCCACACCTTCAGCACAGTGCTCCTGCCATTGGAGCACAGTTTTACACATAGGTAATGCATTTCTTTGAAACTGATCAAATACATTTCTGGATATAATTAGCTGTATTTCTAACATCAGATATTATGAGGGGTTTTCTGACTCACATTCATACAGGAAAGGCTGTGACCTTGTCTTGCCTCTTGTGGCATTTTGATTGTTACGTTCGTTCATAGACGGGACAGACCAAGGCGCAGCGTGATATGCGTACATGTTTCTTTTAACTTAATAAACAACACGACAAAACAACAAACTAAACGAAACGTGAAGTCCAAGGTAGAACACAAAACATACCTTACACGGAACAAGATCCCACAACTACACAGTGCCAATAGGTTTGCCTAAGTATGGTCCCCAATCAGAGACAACGAGCGACAGCTGCCTCTGATTGGGAACCACACCGGCCAACATAGAAATACACATACTAGATTAACACCCATAGAAAATACAACATAGACAATCACACCCTGACTCAACAAATAAGAGTCCCCAGAGTCAGGGGCGTGACATTGATGTTGAAGCTTATCTCCGGATTGGGTAGAGATTTAATCATACACACAATGCAGAGTGAAAAAAGCAGGAATCTCTTTTTTTTTCTCGCTTGGTGTGTCATCGTATGGATACCAGATGATTACTTACTACTGCTCACATAAGGAGAGGAAAATTCACCAAATACAGCCTTAGATCAGGGAAACGATAGAGGGAAATGTATGGACTGAAGGGAAACAGCCAAAGGAATCTTTGTCTGCAGCTCAACCCAGCAAGGTATTGAACTATCTCTTTTCCTCATTCTAGTGTCAACATTTGTAATTTGTTTACTAGTGCTACGTTTGATCACTCAACATAGCCTGTTGATTATATGTATGATGCAGAATCATGTGGAAAGTACCTTTGTGCTCATTACACATCATCCAATATGTTTTCAATTATTTCCAATTGTATCCTTATACTTTGCCAATTATATGATCTGATAATCAGTAATTGGCCTATATATGGAGAATGTCCTACTAAATTGATACCTATTTATTTTGACACATCTAAAATAGTTTCCATCTCAAACATGATTTGGCGGAAACCAGGTTTAAATTATCTCAGAGAGAAAGGATGTCATTGACTACTCATGGCCATACTCATTCACTCATACTGTCACGCGTCATTCACAGCCATCATCCTAGTCTGACAGGGAACACTGTTGAGGATGAATTAGGTCTGGGTGTCGAAGGTTATGAGGGACACAGAGACTTATGTAGCGTTAGACACATACAGTGAGGGAAAAAAGTATTTGATTCCCTGCTGATTTTGTACGTTTTCCCACTGACAAAGGCACGATCAGTCTATAATTTTAATGGTAGGTTTATTTGAACAGTGAGAGACAGAATAACAACAAAAAAATCCAGAAAAACGCATGTCAAAAATGTTATAAATTGATCTGCAATTTAATGAGGGAAATAAGTATTTGACCCCTCTGCAAAACATGACTTAGTACTTGGTGGCAAAACCCTTGTTGGCAATCAGAGGTCAGATGTTTCTTGTAGTTGGCCACCAGGTTTGCACACATCTCAGGAGGGATTTTGTTCCCCCCTCTTTGTAGATCTTCTCCAAGTCATTAAGGTTTCGAGGCTGACATTTGGCAACTCGAACCTTCAGCTCCCTCCACAGATTTTCTATGGGATTAAGGTCTGGAGACTGGCTAGGCCACTCCAGGACCTTAATGTGCTTCTACTTGAGCCACTCCTTTGTTGCCTTGGCCGTGTGTTTTGGGTCATTGTCATGCTGGAATACCCATCCACGACCCATTTTCAATGCCCTGGCTGAAGGAAGGAGGTTCTCACCCAAGATTTGACGGTACATGGTCCCATCCATCGTCCCTTTGATGCGGTGAAGTTGTCCTGTTCCCTTAGCAGAAAAACACCCCTAAAGCATAATGTTTCCACCTCCATGTTTGACGGTGGGGATGGTGTTCTTGGGGTCATAGGCAGCATTCCTCCTCCTCCAAACACGGTGAGTTGAGTTGATGCCAAAGAGCTCGATTTTGGTCTCATCTGACCACAACACTTTCACCCAGTTCTCCTCTGAATCATTCAGATGTTCATTGGCAAACTTCAGACGGCCCTGTATATGTGCTTTCTTGATCAGGGGGACCTTGCGGGCACTGCAGGATTTCAGTCCTTCACGGCGTAGTGTGTTACCAATTGTTTTCTTGGTGACTATGGTCCCAGCTGCCTTGAGATCATTGACAAGATCCTCCCGTGTAGTTCTGGGCTAATTCCTCACCTCATGATCATTGCAACTCCACGAGGTGAGATCTTGCATGGAGCCCCAGGCCGAGGGAGATTGACAGTTATTTTGTGTTTCTTCCATTTGCGAATAATCGCACCAACTGTTGTCACCTTCTCACCAAGCTGCTTGGCGATTGACTTGTAGCCCATTCCAGCCTTGTGTAGGTCTACAATCTTGTCCCTGACATCCTTGGAGAGCTCTTTGGTCTTGGCCATAGTGGAGAGTTTGGAATCTGATTGATTGATTGCTTCTGTGGACAGGTGTCTTTTATACAGGTAACAAACTGAGATTAGGAGCACTCCCTTTAAGTGTTTGCTCCTAATCTCAGCTCGTTACCTGTATAAAAGACACCTGGGAGCCAGAAATCTTTCTGATTGAGCGGGGGTCAAATACTTATTTCCCTCATTAAAATGCAAATCAATTTATAACATTTTTTACATGCGTTTTTCTGGATTATTTTGTTGTTATTCTGTCTCTCACTGTTCAAATAAACCTACCATTAAAATTATAGACTGATCATGTCTTTGTCAGTGGGCAAACATACAAAATCAGCAGGGGATCAAATACTTTTTTCCCTCACTGTAGGAGTGACTCTTGACCCTTCAGTCCAGTTTCACTCAAAGCTCAGGTGGAGTAGGGCTACTGACCCTGTTGCTGACAAGAGGGACTCCAGTCCTCCCTGCCAGGCCAGCCTCACACAGCAGACAGCATGGAACTTCCTGTTGTCTCAAGTTTTCTGCAAGAAGATCAAGGATGCACCCAACCCTGAGGAGGTCGTCCCAGTCTGAGTGAGCAATGCCTTTACTGACTATCAATCAATCAATCAAATGTTATTTATAAAGCCCTTTTTACATCAGCAGATGTCACAAAGTGCTATACAGAAACCCAGCCTAAAACCCCAAACAGCAAGCAATGCAGATGTAGAAGCACGGTGGCTAGGAATAACTCCCTAGAAAGGCAGAAACCTAGAGAGGAACCAGGCTCTGAGGGGTGGCCAGTCCCCTTCTGGCTGTGCCGGGTGGAGATTATAACAGTACATGGCCATTAAGGCCAGATTTTCTCTAAGATGTTCAAACGTTCATAGATGACCAGCAGGGTCAAATAATAATCACAGTGGTTGTAGAGGTTTAGTACAGTATATCAGGAGTAAATGTCACTTGGCTTTTCATAGCCGGGCATTTAGAGGTTGAAATAGCAGGTGCGGTAGAGAGAGATAGTTGAAAACAGAAGGTCTGGGACAGGGTAGCACGTCCGGTGAACAGGTCAGGGTTCCATAGCCGCAGGCAGAAGAGTGGAAACTGGAGTAGCAGCACGACCAGGTGGACTGGGGACAGCAAGGAGTCATCAGGCCAGGTAGTCCTGAGGCATGGTCCTAGGGCTCAGGTCCTCCGGGATGGGAGGGAGATAGAGAGATAATTAGAGGGAGCATACTTAAATTCATACAGGGCACTGGATAAGACAGGAGAATAACACCAGATATAACAGACTGACCCTAGCCCCCCGGCACATAGACTATTGCAGCATAGATACTGGAGGCTGAGACAGGGGGGGTCGGGAGACACTGTGGCCCCGTCCGACCATACCCCCAGACAGGGCCAACCAGGCAGGATATAACCCCACCCACTTTGCCAAAGCACAGCCCCCACACCACCAGAGGGATATCAACAGACCACCAACCTACTACCCTGAGACAAGGCTGAGTATAGCCCATGAAGATCTCCTCCACTGCACAAGCCCGAGGGAGCGACAAACCGGACAGGAAGATCACATCAGTGACTCAACCCACTCAAGTGATGCACCCCTCCTAGGGACGGCATGGAAAGCACCAGTAAGCCTGAGACTCAGCCCCCGTAATAGGGTCAGAGGCAGAGAATCCCAATGGAGAGACAGGAACCGGCCAGGCAGAGACAGCAAGGGCGATTTGTCGCTCCAGTGCCTTTCCGTTCAACTTCGCACTCCTGGGCCAGACTACACTCAATCATAGGACCTACTGAAGAGATGAGTCTTCAGTAAAGATTTAAAGGTCGAGACCAAGTCTGCGTCTCTCACATGGATAGGCAGACCATTCCATATACATTGATCTCTATAGGAGAAAGCCCTGCCTCCAGCTGTTTGCTTAGAAATTCTAGGGACAATAAGAAGGCCTGCATCATGTGACTGTAGCGTACGTGTAGGTATGTACGGCAGGACCAAATCGGAGAGATAGGTAGGAGCAAGCCCATGTAATGCTTTGTAGGTTAACAGTAAAACCTTGAAATCAGCCCTAGCCTTAACAGGAAGCCAGGCTAGCACTGGAGTAATATGATCACATTTTTGGGTTCTAGTCAAGATTCTAGCAGCCGTGTTTAGCACTAACTGAAGTTTATTTAGTGCTTTATCCGAGAGATAAGGCTTTAGGATAATTTCTAGGTTTTGCTGGTGCTTTTGCTATCTGTACTCTGCTTTTGATGAGGGAGAGTGGCTCATGTAGTACTTATGTAGTGTTCTAGTCAGTGATGATACAGCTAATGCTAAACCAGCCTGAACTGTTGTGAATCAGCTGCTCTGTCTCATAGACAGCATGGGAACACTCATTTTGTGGCTGTGGCTGTTTGTAATGTATGATGGGAACCTCGACAGCCTCAGCTCTGTTGAGAGGCACTATTCAGTCTCGACCGCCTCAGCTCTGTTGGGAGGCAGTATTCAGTCTCGACCGCCTCAGCTCTGTTGGGAGGCAGTATTCAGTCTCGACAGCCTCAGCTCTATTGGGAGGCAGTATTCAGTCTCGACAGCCTCAGCTCTGTTGGGAGGCAGTATTCAGTCTCGACCGCCTCAGCTCTGTTGGGAGGCAGTATTCAGTCTCGACCGCCTCAGCTCTGTTGGGAGGCAGTTTTCAGTCTTTTACGTGACATCAGTCTCCTCAGTCTGAGAGAACTCTTTCTGCACTTTGGTTGCATGAGCAAGCTTCAACTATGTTTTGACATGTACTCTCAGGGCTTTAGACACCTCCTCCACATTTCATCTTACAGTAACTCTCTCATTCCTGTGTCTGTTTCTTCATTCCTTCATTCCATCACAAATAGCAACATATTCTCTGAAAATCAGACGTCATTGTCAGTTGACTTCAGGGAAGTTCATTATGGGAATAAAGATATCCTTCTTCACAACAGATGTACTGTATGTTCCCCTTATTTGATCTTTCATTTTGGGAGTTTCTGCCCTAAAAGAAATACTGCTAACTCCCTTGTTCTATCTTGCCTTACCAGCCATAAGGCTCAATATGAAGAATATACTGGACATGAGCCGCACAGACGAAGTCTCCATTTAGTTCACTGTTCTTTTCTTTGTAAAATAATCTTTCCTCCAGATATCATTCCATGATGGTGTTTTTCACCAACATGGTCAATTAATTCTCATATACCCCTAATCAACGTCCCCTTTCAACTAATTCAATTTGTGGATGGATTCCTCACAGACCAGAACACTTTGGCTGTACCATGTAGTGTCCTGGGGGAGAGGTGTGGACTGGGTCCTAGGCCCCGACCCCGATGAAGAGGAAGGTGCGTGTGACCCTAAAGGAGGGGAGAAGGAGGAGAGGTGGAAGAGGTGGATGACCATCAGAACAGTAGACGAGGGGAAGGGGATCCTAATATTGGTCAGATCTCCCAGCATATAAAAGCAAATACTCAACCTTCTTTTGCAGAAAACAGACCCACAACCTTTTCAGTCAGTTGGGGTCTGAAGAACATTTTGCCTAAGGTCCCCTGATAATAATTCCCTGTCCACTCTATTCTGCTCTCTCCTCTGTCCTCAGTTCCTCCCAGGTTGGCTCCCAAACAGCCAAATCCCATCTCTGTTACTTCTAATCTAATCCTGTTTTTATACAAATAAAATGAAACTGCAACCCAATCCCTTTTTTAACAATGTAATTTAAGCATCAGATGTATAGTTGCATAGTGTAAACTAAGATACTGTATGTACCAACAATGTTACTGTATTATAATGTCTGTACTGTATAGAATAACAAATGTAGACAGTTTGAACAATCCAACGGTGCAGAAATATTCATTTGTGCCAGTGGCTCCGAGATTTTCCATTTCCTTTTGACCCCAGTAGAAAAAACAGTTGAATCTTTACTATAAGAAGTCATCTCACATAACACCATGGGATTGAGCAGCACCTGGACAAACACACTCAACACTCATCGCTTTTGCGAGTGTTGAGCTATATGTGCTGCTGTAACGCTGTAGATGTAAATACATCTGTTTGCTTGTGACTAAGGTGGCCAAAGAGGATGACCCTCGTTCCAATAAAGGAAGGACTAAGCCTGTTTGTCTGTCTGTCTGTTTGTCTGTCTGTCTGTCTGAACGTGTATATCTGCTTTATCCCCTTATCCCGATCCTCCATTATCATGTGGCGCTAAGCTAAGCCAGTCTGACTCAGAGACAGGGCAGGGGGGAATAAGGCCTCAGCCGTGGCAGCTCAGGGATTTCGCAATGACACACAAGGTCACACAAGACGTGCTGTTATCGCCTACCATTCTGGTCTAGGACCACTACAATACACAGTGGTGAGCTCTGCAAGAGTAGTCTGTTAGGTCACTATATGCATTGGATATCAATATATGGTTTGGCATTAGAAGAGTTTAGTTGATTGGAATTCTTCCATTGCCCAATAAAGGCCAGGATTATTACAGCTCTCAGATTAAATGATGGGTTGACAGAGGGGTCTTGGTAAAAATATTATTGTCAGACATGCTTAACAGTAATACTTACTTACAAAACATACAAAAATGGCACCAATAAAGGAACCATATCCCCTATCTCGCATTTTGGAACTATGGATAGAAGCCCTCTCCAGCGACACTACCACCTGTCTCTCTTTTGGAGATGTGGGTGGAACCTTCGGCCTAATTTACACTTTTTGTTTTCCAATCCTAAATCCAGGCTCAGAGAACTGACCTTGACCTGGCCCTTACAGTACGTACTAAGTACATTAGCTTGCGTGGGTCTCTTTGCAGTCAATGCAATCTGGGACTAGAGCACTCCTGCAGCCATGGCAACCTCATGCTGAGTGGTACCCAGCACAAGGGCTGCAGTGGGATGACATGTAATACATCTAAAATAACAGCTTCTCAGTTGGAGAGAAGTTTGATGAGCAAGATCGATTGATGCGTGGTTGTTTTCGAAGATCGGAGATTACTGTTGGAAATTAATACAGCCTGTCAAATTAGGAAGCGGTGAAAGAAAACATTGATACTGGTAGGTACACAAGTTGTTCTTATTTGCAGAAATCTTTGATACACATGACCTATAAAGAAATGTAATCTATACATTGTACTGAATTGACTGCTAATATACTCAGCATGCTACTTTAAGCACGTCTTTGTGTATGGACAGGTAGACCAGATGGCAACATCAATGAGGCTGCCACACTCCCCTTGAAGAAGAGTGGAGGTAGACTAGAGTGAGGGGACAATGGACCATAACCTGGACTATGGGGAACCCACAAGAGGAGGAGGTGTTCTTTGAGTCCTACAAGCCTCCCTCTCGGGACGCTATCACCCTGCCCAACTATGTTATCTATCTGTTCCTAGCATCGGTGGTGGCTCTGATCGCCCTGTACGCCATCATCAGGCACCTCATCAAAGAGCTGATTCATGACCTAGCAGGTACAGCTACCACTACACTCCCACACCACACTGAAGCCAACTGGCCGCACTGTTTGTCTTGTGTCAGTCAGCAATGAAATGACGAGAATATTATCAAAATATCACAATCTAATTATTAGAAATTATCATTCTGTAGCTGACTACAAACATGCTGATATAGTCTGGAATTAATTGAATTGAATATCTCCGTTTAAAAAGTTTTGCCATATTGTGTTCTCCCCCCCCCCCCTCCCTGTATAGACTACCTGTTTGGGGTGCAGCCTGACGAGGAGGTGGTTAACCCCTGGGAGTGTAGGGACAAGTTCCAGGTGGACTGGTGTCCAGAGACCAACGCTGAGCTGGAAGCTATGGTCAAGGCGGAGGAGATCCACTGCCTGATGGAGGGCAACAAGAACATGCCTGCCATCTGGGTCATCTCAGATGGACGTGAGCCACGGCCCCCACGCACGGGCCCCAGGGTCGCCTTCGGCAGGATGAGCTAGCTACAAAGGGGCAGACACACAGACTCATACTGCTAGGGACAAGGCAGGGTACAGCAACGTGGCAGATGCACTGTAAACTGTAAGCCAAATGAGATATACTGTGTTGTAATCATGTACTCATTACTGCATTACACAATAATCTCCACATGCTGGCAGCATGCCAAGAGCTTCATAAGTGAACAGTCGTTGTTATTTTATTAGTGTTTAGACTAGGCCTTTTGACCTGCTTTTGACCATATGAAGAGGAAATGCTTTCAGGACTTTCAACTGTGAGCAATGTTGTTGAACACGTTTACATCAAAATAATTCCATATGGTTTCTGATTTTAAACCATTTCTCTCACAAATACTCTTGTTTTCTATTTATTACACATTTATTTTACACAATATTACACATTTGCATACTATCCAGTAAACGCGTAGCATGATCGTTACTGAAAGCTGGTTTCATAAACAAATGAAAAGCCATGAGTTTGGAGTGGACACACCTTTCATTCCATACAATCTGCTGGCATCATTGGCAACATAGTGCAATCTGGTTGCTCTCTGTGCTGTATATTGCACTTTGACCTCACAGGACGTTACCAGTCCAGAAGGAGTATCGTAACAGTGAACAGGTTCTACACTACACCAACCTCAGAGGTCTCCTGGGACAAACAAGGATTCATAATGTCTCTCCACAAAACTCTCCTGGTCTGCTTATTACTGGCTGTTTGTGTTAACCAGGCCCAGAGCGGTAAGCCAAACGGTAAGTCATCGTCGATGATCAATCATACTAGCTAGATATTGATGCAAAGCACTGTGTTTAACAACAATTGTGTAATAATAACCTCACCTTGCACCTTCCGACTGAGGTTGGCATTATGTTATCGCTGTGAACACTGTTAGTCAGTACTAGTCAGCGATGTTTAACTCTTTATTCAAATATCTTACATCATCATGATAATATAGAGTCCACATACTACAACACTATCAATGGTGTGGTATCAATGATCAAATCAGAGTTTTCTGGTCAATACATAACTCTTTGTTCCCTATATAGGAGGCTTACGGATCACTACATCGAAGGGTGGGACCCTGCAGCCTTGGCTTGTCGGTCTGGCTGCTGTAGTGGGATTCCTCTTCATCGTCTTCGTCGCCCTCATTGTACAAAGGCTTTTCTTCAAGAAGGAAAAGTTAGTACTCCAGAGGTGGTAACCTAAATGCACTGCACCTGCATATATTCTGTGTACTTACTGTAAAGTGGGACGACAAGGGTAAATATCTAAGCAAAAGGAATCTCCTTAAATTAATATTCTAATTCCTAATTCTATGTCCTAAACATTGTTTTGACCTTTCAATACATAAACCAATAGATGGCCTAACCATGGGTAATTATTTAGCTTATTGCTGATCTGCCTCCTACATTTTATGGTTGTTAAGATATACTATTGTCTTATCAGTGCAGGCTGCTAGCCATCTGCCAAGGTAATATTCAGTCAGTGATTAAAATGACAAGTCCACAGAGATGACCAGAGGTGCCTTGTGTAACAGGCACCAGCAACCTGACTCCAGTGGTGTAAAGTACTTAAGTAAAAATACTTTAAAGTACTACTTAAGTAGTTTTTCGGGGGTATCAGTACTTTACTTTACTATTTATATTTTTGTCAACTTTTACTTTTACTTCACTACATTCCTAAAGAAAATAATGTACTTTTTAGTCCATACATTTTCCCTAACACCCAAAAGTACTCGTTACATTTTGAATGCTTAGCAGGACAGGAAAATTGTCAAATTCACGCACGTATCAAGAGAACAGCCCTGGTCATCCTTACTGCCTCTGATCTGGCGGACTCACTAAACATAAATGCTTCGTTTGTAATATGTCTGAGTGTTGGAGCGTGCCCCTGGCTCTCCGTAAATAAAAAAAACAAGAAAATGGTGCCGTCTGGTTTGCTTAATATAAGCAATTTGAAATGATTTATACTTTTACTTTTGATACTTAAGTACATTTGAACAACAATACCTGTATTTGAAAAGGGTATTTTGTCTTTAAATTATATTGTAAATTGGAATGGTAGAGTTATCAGAATTGTATGGGAAGGTCTGCTCAATCCAAGATTACAACCAATTGATTACAGCATTACCCCAAAAATGGAGGAGGCAGGTGCCATACAGATTGCAAAATAGTTGGGAAGAGATTTTTGATATACCGATTCTATGGTACAGGGTGTATGAGTTGATATATAAAACGCTGCAAGATTCAAGACTTTGTGCTTTTCAGCTAAAATTATTATACAGAATTCTTGCCACCAACAAAATGTGGAATATTTGGGGCATACAACCATCGCAGCTCTGCAGATTTTGTTGTGAGGATACAGAATCAATAGACCATTTGTTTTGGTATTGCCCTCAAGTAGTCTGTTTCTGGTCTCAGGATCAGGAATGGCTGAAAATGCATAACATTGATTTAAAATTGACCCTAGAAATAGTACTGTTGGGAGATCTGGAAAGACCGGGTCAGTCAATTACTAATATACTAATACTGTTAATAAAAGTATTTATCTTCAACTCGCAATCTGTGGATTCTATTCGATTAGATAGACTGAAATTGTATGTTAAACATCACAGCATAGTTGAAAGATATATGCTGCGTAGAAATCCGAAGAGGGTTGCCAGCAGAGATAGGTGGGATGGGCTGAGGGGGGGGGGGGTCGGGTGCAGCTCTTGGGGAACTGTAGATGGGATCTTGGAGGGCTGGTGGCCTGGCGGTTGGGAGCTTGGGCCGGTGGCTGATGGATCGCTGGTTCGTGTCCCCGTTTTTTTGACCTTGTGGGAGATCTGTCGACGTGCCCTTGAGCAGGGCGTTGACCCTGGTTGCTTCTGTGTGTCGCTCTGGATGGGAGTCTTAGATGACTAATGTGATGTAGTTGTTGAGCGTCTTCACTGCAAGTATATTGTATGTTTTAGATATTCAACAATAAAAAATAATATTATAATAATAATAATTTGAGCAATTACATTTACTTTTGATACTTAAGTATATTTAAAACCAAATACTTTTAGACTTTTACTCAAGTAGGATTTTACTGGGTGACTTTCACTTTTACTTGAGTCATTTTCTTTTATTCAAGTATGACAATTGGGTACATTTTCCATCACTGCCTGACTCTTCACTGACATAATCTGTTCATACTTTTAATATTGTGAGTTCCTGTTGTCCTCAACTAACTTACCAGGATCTCACCAACAACTGTATTTTCTTATGAAATGTTCAACTGCTGCACTCCTAGTCCTAGACAGTAGGTTATCAAACTACACACGCTCATTGTAAAGCCCATGTTCTTGTCTTGCAGAGAGGAAGATGGTGGTTGGTATGAGAACATAGCTGTAAAATTGGAAGATGGAAAGGCCAGTGAGGTTATACAAACCAACCTATAGAGAGACCACCAAACAAACCATCCAGGGAGGGGACACACTCAGACATCAGTTTCCACGCATTGGGTTTCTTACCTCTCCTGCACATGTATTTCTTTCAACTCTATGATTGTCATATCCTATGTTTGTGCAATTAAACAAATGATATAGATAATCCCTCAATTTTGCCTGTATACTGTGCATATCAATATAATTCTGAACAGGATCTGTTTTATTGTTGGCAGGATTGTTTGTTGTGCAGTCACAGTGTTGGATTTATTGTACTGTAATGAATGACATGTTGATGGTTACAATAGTGATTCAGTAGTCTCATTTAGATACAATAGTCTCATTTAGTAATTGATGCTTTTACAGTGTTACTGTAACAGAAATTAGTGATATTATTTATACTACCACTAGATGAAACTGGATTCTGTTTTTCCATTTAGAACTCACTAGACCTACAGTACTACACAGATTGTGTAGGGGAGAGTGGGGTAAATTGAGCCATAGGGGTAAGTTGAGCCGCCCTTGTTTCTAGGAAAACATACACAAAATTAAAACTTGACCAAATATTTAGGAAGAGGTCATCATTTCATATTTTCAGGGTTACACAATATCCTGAAATATATGTAGATATATTTGTTAGAAATAATACTATATTTCCTTTGACAGAGTGATGCTGAATGTAAAAAATGGCTAAACTTACCCCACTCTCCCCTAGTCAGTTTCAAATTGAGAATACAGAAAGTGTAAATTGTGAAGCTACAGCTGAATTGTATCTAAATAAATGTATTACAATTAATGTTATAAATAATAATAAATAATATGCCATTTAGCAGACGCTTTTATCCAAAGCGACTTACAGTCATGCGTGCATACATTTTTTTTTTTTTTGTGTATGGTTATGTTATTGATTGGTCATTTGCAAGTATACTTTCGCTGTCAGTTATTGCAATTACATCCCAAAATACCATAGAGAATAGGTACTGTACATTCAACTGGCAGATTATCTCTAACCCTAAACCTAACCCTAACCCTAGATTGGTAATACAATGCATTTACAGTAGAAATGCTTGCCATAACCCTAACCCTAATCTTGGCATAACCCTAACGCTAATTTGGCATAACCCTAATATTAATATTTGCATAACCCTGACCTCAATGAGGGAAATACCCATCTTTCCCTCATTGCTTAGGCAGTACCACAATATGGGATGGCAATATTGACGTCCATGAATGCAAATCACTGGAGGAATTGAAATGAGGTCAATTTAGCCATCCCTTCAAATTGCTGAAGAGAGGATATAAAGGGTAGCTTGCCTTGTAGCTTAAAGTGGAACTGACAGCGTTTTAGCAACATGAAATCATATTAATATCTGTTCATATACACCCCCAGGAAGATTAAGACACCTTTTAAAAATATTTTAGTGAGCACTTAGATATGGTCATTTTCACATTTTTATAAATTCATAGAATGCTTGGGAATGACATAAGTAAGTATTTTGTGAGTGGGAAAGTGGCCTAGCGTTTGGACAATTAATAGACACTGCAGTAAATAAAACCTAATGAAAACTAGAGTCTACGCGCCATAGCCAATCAGAGCTACAGTAGGCATATATATGCAAATAAGCCATTTGCCACACAGGCCTGCCATCCACTTTGAACTGGACTGTGTGTTTACAGGCAGTAGCAACAGCGTGACTTTAGATCATTAGAACGCATTCGCCAAAAGCCACCTGAATGGATTTCTGCAAATATGTAAATACCATTGGGGTCCTCTTACATTTGGGAACTTCACAGTCCTATTGATCAAACAACCATGAAAAGGTAGGCTATCTCTCCCTCAGTTGCCTATGCACATGAACAACAACAAGATCAACAACTAATGCTAGCTAGAGCTCATCCTTCTGCAGCTTGCCTGCCAATGCACGCCTGTCCCAACCCACGTTTTGACAAATGAATGGGAACTTGCCTGCCTGCCTGCCCATTTGATCGATGACAAATACATTTGATTGACAACTAAGAGATATGCTATCTGTGGATAACAGTTGTTTAAGTTCAGCATTGCTAGCTAGCTACCAAAGCGATTCACATTTCTTGCTAGCTAACCAAATGACACCTGCATCTCTCGCTGTAGCCACCGAAAAACGATATGAGGGGGAAATGTTGGTCACTCACCCACTCCTCCAATGACATGACATCCTCCCAGCAGCTAGCTAGCTACATAAATAGATACGCTAGCCCAGGGGTGTCAAACTCAATCAGAGCATGGGCCATGTAAAAAAAAAAAAAGAGCACGGGCCAGATGAAGCCTATTTGTTTTTAGAAAAAAGTGCAACTGTGACCCAAACTGGCCATTGTTTTATTTGAAAAAAGATGGCCCTTTATAATTTTCACTTATGTCCATGGGATTCTGTATATAGAATTTTTACACATTAAAACAAAATAATATTTGTCCAGCCTTTGCTGCTATGCTTGCAGATGTGCATAATATGCTGAGACCCTAATCAAAAAGTATTTAATAAATCCAAATAACAAAAACGTAGCTATAGGTTGTTGTAACATTTAAACATGTTTTTTTTTTTCACTGCATCGATCACCGGTGCAGTTGAATGCAACATTGCTGTATGGTGCACTCAAAATGTATTGTAGTTGAGTAGCCAGCCTAGGCTACTGCTCAAATGTTGTTGTAATAGGCATACATGTTTGTCCTTCGCATGGTGTTTTGTTGCAGGTTTTGTTTTTTGGTTATTCATTGTCAAGCTTTAAAAACCGAAGCCAGACTACATAATTTA